CCGTCCCATGTCCGCTCTGGGAGGGATTTGATATTCCTTGAAGCTTGGCAGGGCTTGGGAGAGGTGCCAGCCAGCCCTTGGTGTCTCTGGGAATGCCCTGCGTGGGATGGTTCACTGGGATGGGCACAGGGATCTCCCATGGGGTTGGCTGTGGTCGGGGTGTCTGCTGTGAGCTCTGGAGAGCAAAGGATGCTCGGAGAGTGATATGGTTTGGAGAGGCAGGTGGGGCAGTGCCATGTCCCGCTCACAGGCACTGTCCCAGGGCTTCCCTGCTGGAGGTGCTCGTGCTTCCAGCTGATCTGACCCCCCTTCCTGGGGAGAGGAACCTCGCTGGGGTCGTTCCTGCTTGGTTTCTGTGGAGCAGCAGACGCTCTCTGGTGCCCCACGGTGATCCCGTGAGCGTGGCCAGGGTGTGATGGCACCAGACAGGTGAGGAGAGCCGGGGGGGTGAAGGTGAGCACTGAAGGCTGGCTCTTCCCAAAGAAGTTGCTGGGAGCAAGATGAAAGTGGGAGATGAAAGTGCCCAGAGGTGAGATCCCATTAAAGCAGTGCTTGGGCTTAGCCAGTCCCTGGTTCCTTAAATATCTTCTAATTTACAGTAATGCTCTAGATTCGTCTCAGCTCCCCCAGACTTTTATTTTAATCCCCTTTCCACATTTCCATGTGTTTATGTGTTAATTAAAGGGTAAAAAGCCACTCTCGGAGCAATCCTGGCTGCTGCTTCTCTTCCAGCCAAAGCCTTTCAAGATTAGGAGCCGCTTCCTAAAGCCGGCGGTGCCGGAGCAGGACGGGCAGGCTGCTCAACTTTCCATAGCTCGGAGCAGATCCGGTGCCTGGGATCCATCCTCCCCGAGTCCTCTTCTCCCAGCTGTGCAGAGGAGCATCCCACAGGCTTCCAAGAGCTCTGGGAGGATTTGCTGGGTCTGTTGCACCTCCAGCATTTGCTGGTACCTGCGGGAGCAGCTGCTGGAGGGAGGACCCCCAGCGTGCAGCCTCAGCTCCCCTCCAAGTCCTGGACAGGCTGGGGCTGGAAGGAAGGGTCTGGAAAACGCGTGTTGAGGCTGGGATGTGGTGGGAAGGGTAGAAATAGCCTCTGGAGCGTCTCAGTGCTGTGCTGTGTGTCAGATTAGAGGTGTCACCTCTGCTATCCCGTGCTGGTTCATCACCAGGGCCTTGCTGAGCTCGTGGAGATGTGGGAGCATTTTCCCACTGGTGTTTCCCACCATTCCTCCTCATCCCTCCTTGGGTAACGGTTTTGAACTCTTTGGGTTTGGATCTGGGGAAACTGAGGCCGAGGGGCACCCCCAGTGGTTGGGGACAGGGATTTGGAGACAGGGACTCGAGGACAGGGGCAGTGGGGAGGAGGTGCCTGTGGCACTGGGTCCATACGTGGCACTGGTTCCTCTGGCAGCCTGTGAAGGGCAGCCCAAAGTTACGGAGCCCCTGAGGATCGTGGTATCGAGGATAATTAAAAATAGGGAAAGCTGCTAAAATAGGTGTTGAGGCAATTGCTCTGAGGAGCTCGTGGTGGGGCTGTACCTGTTCCTGCGGGTCCCAGGGGCCAAGAGGTGCCATTTAATTTTCGTGTCCGTGGAGCAGAATCAGGTGGAGAAGTGGCATCGCTTTGGGTGGGTCTGGACACCCCAAAATTCCTTGGGAGCTTTTGGGGAGAAATCACTGTAAATGCTTCATCTGCTCTTCCTGCTCCTGAAGATCCCACATCCTTTGGTGCAAGTGTTTGTTCCAAGTCCGTCGTCTCTCTCTTGCCTCTGTGTCCATCCTTCCCTTTCTCCCAGTGCTCCAGAAGGCTCCGTGGCAGTGCCAGGCTCCGTGGCAGTGCCAGGCTCCGTGGCGTGGCACACACGTGGTGCTCCCAGGGGAAGCGTGGCACACGCGTGTCGCTCGCATGCGGCGGGAGCCGTGTCCAACATCCCGGCGGCTGATCCGCCCCCTCCCTCTCAGGGAAGCTCCGGGCATCCATCAGCCTGTTAATTGCGCTAATTAGAGAGTGTGGAGGTGTTAATTGGAAAACTCTGGGATCGTGCCTGTTTGCGGGAGGGATGGATGTCAATAAAGCGGGATTGATGACTCGGCGTGGCACGTGCACCGCGCAGGTTCGCGGCGAGTCGGGGGATGTCAAGGAAATGTTACTGCTCAGACGAAGCAACTGTTAATTAAAAGCAAGGGTAATTAAAACACCCTCGTTGCCATATGGTCCCGCTGAAGGCAGGGGGATTCGTTGCTCCGTTTGTAATCTCCGTTTCCTTTTCTTTGTCCTATGGAAGGTGCGTGGTTGAGTAAAAGGGAAAAAAAAAAAGGCAGAGCGGTGGCTCAGCGAGGAGATTTTGAGTCTGAAATGGTAATTAATGGTAATTAATGATCCACTGGCGCAGCTTCTGTTGCTGTTGCCATTGGAGGGGGCTCCTCCCTCCCTCCCCTTTAACTAAACCAACCCTTTCCCACTTTATCCGGGTGTTGCATCTTCCCGCTGACTGTGTGGACACAGTCCCTGCCTTTCTGCCTGGGGGAAGGTCTGATCCTGATTAGACCCTCCGGATACCAGCGTAGGGAGAATCCCTGAAATCCTGGCTGTGTTTGAACTGCAGTAGATGAGAAGCAGGAGCTGGGATGCTGTGGATCCCCCCTGGCTGTGTGCAGGGCTGCACGTGTGCTCGGCATCGCAGCCGCTCGCGAGGCTGAGTTTCACTCTTCCCAGAGTAGCCTCAGTCATCCCGGATCAGTCCTGGCTGGAAAAGTGCTCATTCCTAGTTTAAATCCACTTTATAACGGTGCAGACACTGGCTTCATTTTTTTTTTTCTTTAAGGTTTTGTAAAACTTTTATAGGAATGGAAATATTTTCATTATTATTATTATTATGACTTTCTTTTATGACTTCCCTTGCAGCGTTGGGATCCCAGACGCTCCAGCATCCCGTGGGGTTTGGGAACGGGAAGTAGAGTTTTACTAGACTTGGAGAGGGAACCCAACTGGCCCAGTGTCCCCGGCTCCGGGAATCACCCGGCCTGCGGGAATCTGCTCCAGCATCCCGCCTCTGGCAGGGCCGGGGCCGCCGGAACGAGCCCACAGCTCCTCCACCAGAAGAGATTTCCTCCTAATTCCCAATAGTTAAGCTTCGGTTTATGCCCGAAGCCAGGAAAGTTTTATATCCTTTCCAAAAACTTTTTTTTTTTTTTTTCCCTTTTTTAATACTTCCTGTTGTAACTCTGGATATTCTTGTTCTCCGTATAAAAGTCAAATCCCTGTTTGAATCCCGACGAGTTTCTGGCCGTGGTGATGCCGTGTGACTGCTGGACATGGGCAGAGCCCGGCACTCCCCGTGGTGCCTGGTCAAAACATGGAGCAGGCAGTGGATTTCAGAAGGAAAATGGGAATAGGAACAGCAATAATTTAACATTTCTGCAGGCATTTGTTTGAAATTGAAAAGGGGGAAGGAACAAATGTAGTTTTTAAGGCAAAAAGTGTTGTCTTTCTTCTAGATTTTTACTCCTGACGCAGCATCCTGTGAACACCTCATCCTTTCTTGAACCTCGGGAAGCTGCTCCAACCGTACCATGCTCTCATTCCTTCTCCTGTGCTTCAACCAAACCCAAATCCCAGTAATCCCGTTAACCTTGAACTGTCCCGCAGCTCCTGGTGTGTCACCCTGTGTGGATTCGGGAGCACCGGGACAGTGGGAGGGAACCAGCAGCTCCCCATGGGAATTAATGTCAGTCATATACCCTGCGGAAATGACTTTTGAAATGCATATAATCTCAAACATGCAAATGAGCAGCTCGCTGCACCCTGTTTAATATGAATGATCAGCCCTGAATAGCGATTATTACACGCCACATTTCAGCAATTATGTTGTTCGTGGTTTGTCTCTCCAGCTTTTGGGGCGGGGGGGGGGGGGGAAATGGGGAAAAAAAGAGGGGGAGAAAAAAAAAGGGAGAGAGAAGCAGTGTTGCTTCTCCCTGTCCTCTTTATTCCCCTCTTGTTTCAAACTCTGTGAGCGGCGCTAGGTGAGACTGATCCCACACCGGCACCCACCGGCGGGGATGGAGAGGGATGGAATGGGATAAAACTCTCCTCTGCTTTTCCACAGAGGAAAGTGTGCTGGAAGGAGGGAGAACCCCTCACTCTGGGGGTGCTCCCTCGCCCCTGATCACTCTGTGTGTGTGTCAGGGCTGGATGTGGCCCCGGGGGTTCTGTGGATGCTGTCGGAGTGGCAGGAGTTGATGTTGGATGCGGTGCTTCTGTTTCCTCCAGTGCCAGCCCAGATTCAGGAGTTTCTCCCAGAAAAGGGGACCCTCAGGTTCATGGCCAACAACCTGCCCACTAATCCAAGCCAACTGAGCAAAGGCTGGGAGGAAGGGAGGATTTTCCAGCTGATGTGTCGCTGTGTTCTCGTTGCCGCGTCCCAGCTCTGCCGAAACTTTGGGCTTCCTCAGCCTGCCAGCAAACCTTCTGCCGGCTGGTTTTTCCTGCCAGGTGGTTTTTCCTGCTGGGAAGTGCTGGTTTGCTGGGAGCTGAAGCACTTTGAGGAAGTGTTTCAACTTTGCTGGGATTTTCACAGTGAGATCTGTGGCACAGGCTCCTCGCACTCCGTGTGCAGCCTCGCTGGGACTCCAGCTGTGCTGTCTCCAGCATCTCAAAGTGAAATGTTTTGGGATTCAGTGAAAATACCCGGATTCCTGGGGCTTTATGTCTTGCATCAGGCTCAGAGAAAGCTGGAATCATGGGTTTTCCTGAGGAAGGGGTTGCACTTGCCTTGCCCAGAGATGTGCAGGGCCGACAGAGTGTCTGTGGCACCTCGTGCTGCTGCACGTTTATTTTTTGGGGTAAATTGAACGCAGCTAAAACTGGACAGGGTTTGACATCCCACCCCTGCAGGATGTCACGGGGATCAGGGGCAGGGCAGGCGGAACGGGGATGCGGACCCCGGACTGCGTTCTCAGCCCCTACTCTCTCCTTCCTCCTCCTCCTCAGGTCCTGCTAGCGAGTCATGATGGTTGAATCTGCCTCGGAGACGATACGTTCCACTCCCTCTGCCCAGAACGGGGTGAGCAGCCTGAGCCAGCAGCCGGATGGCGGCGGGGGCAGCGCGGGGGGCGGCGGGCGCGACGGACCCGCCGGCGAGGCCAACGGAGAGATGAGCCCCGTGGAGCTCCTGCACTTCCAGCAGCAGCAGGTAGGACGGACATCCCCGTTCCTTCTTGCCAGCCTCACACCAGGCAGCACAGAACTGGGTCTTTCAAGGGTGTGGTTTGGGGGCAACACTTGGTTTTACCCCTCCTCGTCCCCTGGGTTCCACCAGGCTTGGTCGTCCCTGTTGAGGCCGGGGTGCAGATGCTGCCCCAAAAAGCAGTGCCTGTCCTTGGGGTGCACGTCCCTTGGGAGATGGAGCCCATCTATCCCTGGGGTTCCTGATGCCCCAGAGGTGGCTCTGTTTTGAGGGGGGAGATCCTGCCTGCTCTGTCCCCCATCGGTCTGGGAAAGCGGTGAGGAAGAGGAGGAACGTGAGGCCAAAGCCTTTGGCTGTAGCACAAGAGCAGGTGTTCTCCAAGTCTGTATTTGGTTGTCCAGGTGGGTGAGCCAAGCTGGTCCCCCATTCCCTGGGGCTCCTGTAGCCTTCAGCTGAAGAATTAACCTCACACACATGGCTGAGAACACGTGTGACTGTGACATGTGTGTGCAGCAGCTCTGTCCCTGGGCACACGTGTGTGCCCCTCGGGGAGCCCCTGGCACACACGTCCCCTCGGGCAGCCACAGGGAGGGGGGGCCGTGCCTGCAGGTTACCTTTCAAAACAAACTTTGGCAAAAACATAAATTTTCCTCCTCGGCTACTAAATAAGGCAATGATCCCTGCCTCGTACGGAGATCGCCTCCCTGAGCCATAAATTCCAGCGTGAAAGCTGTAAAAAATTGCTGTGTCTGATACTTTAGTAGTGAGTGCTGTAAATCCATTACCTGGATAACAGCCGTTTCGCACGCAGTTAAGCCCCTGTTCCCCGGATCCGAGGGGTAATCATGCGTGTAATGCTCCTGCCAGTGCCCGCCGAGGAGCCGCCCGCGCTCCCCTCCCCGAATTTCCCCTCCCCGAATTTTGCCGCCCGGCACCCGGAGCCGGGGATGGGGTGGGGGTGGAACGGGAGACCCGTGATCCCACACAGCCAAAATGATGCAAATCGTGGGTGTGAAACAGGGTATCTCCTCCAGAAAATCAGCATTAAAAAGGCTTTTCCGAAGCAGAGCGCTGTGCTGTCGGCTCATCCCTGGGGATGCTCCCCGATCCCGCCCTGCCCGAAGCAGGGCTGATGTTTAATTTCACCCTTTTGCATTTCTTCTGTCGGGTTCCTGCTGTGATCACCCTGGGAAGCTTGTTGGCACATGGAATTATTAAGGCAGAGGGTTTGGTAAACTTCCAAAACCAAATGGCATCTGCAGTGCCAGCGCCTTGGGAAGGGGGAGGACCCATCCCCAGGACTATCAATCTTCCTGCTTCAGGGAGCAGGCTGAGCACCAGCTGGGGTCAGGAATAAATGTCCCCATATCGGGAGTTTTGGACAATTAGGTGCTTTATGGAGGCTTTGCACCATCCTCGGGAGCATCCCAGCGTTCGCCCCGGGTTCTCGGACCACTGGGCTCTTCCCGACTGATCCATCCCGGCTCCCGAAATGTCGGCACTCAATCCTTATTCTTACTGAACTTTATGAGATGCCCAAGAAACCTTTGGAAGCCTGGAAGGGTGGGGGTTTGTTTGGACGATGCAGCTCCCGGGGGCTCTTGCTCTGCCCCCGTTTTTGTCCGGTTTGGACCTTTTCCAGTGCCCGTGGCCCCTCTGCTTTCACCCCCTTCAAGGGGTGAACCCAGGCAGCTCTTTGCAGGGACTTTGTGGGTTCAGGCTCCTCTCTGAGGGTGCTGCTGGAGATGGGTGCCCTGGGTGGGATCTTGAGGGGAGAGGGGGGTGTCATTGGGTGCTCAGGGACCCCTGAGGCTGTTTTGTGGCTTCTGGGATGTCCCCAGAGCAAGAGGCTGTGGGTGTCTGGCAGCACCAGCCTGGTTTGCTGAGACAGGGTGGGCTCCCAGCTCAGTTCCAGCTCTGCTCCCCCACGGAGCACAGCGTTCCATCACCATCCTTGTCCGTCTGTCCTTCCCGATCCGTGCGACTGCAGAGCATCCCATGGTCTGGAGTGTCTGAAGGGAGAGCAGGAGAGGAAGAGGGGCAGGTCTGGAGGGAGAGTGGGATGGGGTGGGGAAGGAGCATCCCCCTCCCCTGCCTCGCTCTCCCCCAGCCTGGGGGCTGGCTCTCGGGTAAATCCCTGGATTTCAATGGTGGGATTGGGCTGAAAAGCCTGAATAGCTCCCGCCCGCTTTGTGCCGGGGTTGGCGGAGGGGAGAGGTCGGCCGGGGGCACGGGAGGGCCCGGGACCCCCCCGCTGTTGCTGTGGGAACGTGGTGGGACCTCCGGCACTGCCGGGCTCCAGAGGGCCCCGCTGGCCCCTCCTGCCATGCCAGACCCCCCCGGGATTCCTGGCAGAGGAAGGCTGGGCAGGAAACGGGGGCAGTGGGGTGATGGGGGAGTCACATCCCTGGGCTGGGAGCAGGAGGGGGATCCTCTGGTTTGGGTATCGGGAGTGATGCAGCGAGGGGAGACCCAGGGCTGGGCTTTGCACAGAACACGGCTGCTGCTCTCCATGGTTTTGGGTTCTCCAGGGTTTCCTTGATTCCTTAAAAAAACCCCAGGTTTCCAGCTCTTATCCTGGAGCTGGAGTTTAAATCTATGGTGTGCAGAGAGCCTGGGGCTTGGGGGTCGTTGCAGCTTTGGGGTGCAGGGGTGAAAAGCGTGGAGGTGCTCGTGCAAGGATGTCCTGGGAGAATTGTGGGGAAAATCCCCGAGGCCGGCACTGCACGGGAGCTTCTTCCAGCTTGCAGTCCTTGGAAAAGGAGCCATCTGGAAAATCCAGCTGCTCTAGCGTTGTTTGGTGTTATTTTATTATGCAAAAAGTACGTTAAAAAGTGCAGTTTATTGCAGACAGACGTCAAAGAAACGGGGAATAATAAACAAAAATAAGTCTTGTTTTTGAAAAGAAGCAAATGGGACCTTTTTGGGAGTTGAGGAAGGGTGTGGAGGGGGGAGGAGAGGCACTTTGCTGCCCTCAGAGAGATACCATTCCATAAAACATGTGATCACATCTCAAATATATTGTGTAATCCGCTATTATTAGGGTATTTAAGATAAAAACGAGGCTGGAGCACTTAAGTGAAACTCATCTCTCTGTTCGCTTCCCTGATTCATATTTCATATTTTACTGAGGACAAACGCAGGAGCCTTTTTTTTTTACTCTTTTTTCCTCCTTTTTTTCCGGGGAGTGGGATTGTCAGGAGCATGTTCCCTGTGTTCTTCATTAGTGGGCATGGGTTTAACCCCTCGCCTGCGAGGACTGAGGAGGCAAGAGCAGATTCATAAAGTGCAGGAGCGTTAGAGCAGGGGAGCACAGCTGGGGCTGAGACACAGACATGGAGCTGGGTGTAAAAACTACTTTTTTTTTTCTTTTTTTATTTCCCTGTGAAGAATTGTGTCATTTTTGTTAATTTGGATCTCTTGGAGTCATTTGGTTCTGGTTAAGCGGGGCCGGGCTGGGCTGGTGGAAGTGCTCCTCAATATGGCATCATTTACTGTTAATATCCAGCTAAAAATATCCCTCTGTGTTGTTTTAACGGCTCTAATTCTGGAATGTGACGATGTCATTTTTATGAGGTTAGTGTAAAAAATCTTCCTTTTTCTTTTTTGCCATTTTTTTCATCCCTTCCCAACCCCTTTCCACCCTCTGAAAGAATCAGAGGGAAAAGGGAAGATGCAAACTCTCTTACAGGTCCTCTTTCCCTGCAGAATTCTCGGTCTGATGTCATGTTCAGGTGGTTTTTCACTCGTTGGAGGGTAAAACCCCATGGAAAGCTTTGATCCAGGTAGAAAATCCCTTGGCTAATTTTGGGCACCATCCTTGGTGGTGACCCTGCTCCTGGCTCTGGCAGCTGGAGCATCTGGGCACTGCTGGGTGGAATTAAAAGCTCTGTCGTCATAAAGTGAAATACCTGGTAAATAAGGGAATTTAAAATGTCCCGGGCAAGATTTTCCATTGTACTATGATTTTTTTGTTGGGTTTGTTTGGGTGGTTTTTGGGGTGGTTTTTTTTGGGAGGCTGGGGCTTGTGCTTTTAGGAAGACCTGTGGATGTCTCCACCCTCTCCAAACTTTTTTGAACCTCTTGACCTGTTTCTTCCCAATTGGGAGGCCCTGGAGAGGCTCTGCTCGGGCAGGTTTTGAGGAGAAGAGGGCAACCAGGCAGAGATGAGGGGTTAATCCAATGTTATCCAGGCTGTAGAGTGGGATCCTGGATGGGATGGGAGCCGCTGTCTCCTCAACCTGGGCTTTTCCAGGGCTGGGACCAAGTGGGACCTGGTGTTCCCTGTGGGAGAAAGGGAAGTTTGTGGTGTTTGCCATGAGGAGGGCAGCCAAAATCTGCCCCTCCTGATGTCTGGAGGAGCTTCCATCATGTGCAGGAGTGAATTTATGGAGCCTCACAGGCTGGAGCACAAGCCTGTGGGGGAAGAATTAAGGATTAATCCCAGCAGGGTTTATTTATTGACCCCCTGCCCACCCCAGCACCCACCTTCCAGCATCTCCCATCTCTCCCTGCAATCCCTGGTGTGTTCTGTGTCCCTGCACGGCCAGAGGGAGTTGTGGGCCTTCCCCAGCCTGGGTCACCTTCCTCTTCCTCAGCCCTGGAATGTGCTGCTGCTCTTGGGGAGGGCAAAGCCAAACCACATCAGCTCTGAATGTGCCTGAGACATTACAAACTTTTTATGGGATAATTTGCTGATCAAAGGGAGCCATCCAGGAGCTGACACAACCCATTCGTTCCCAATTACGGGTCTCAGTGCTAACCACTGCTGGATGACACCGTGCAGCAGGAGAGGGGCTTTTTTAAAACAACCACTTTTTCTCTGGTTCCCAGAGCTGGGAGGTGAAAGCCCATCCACTCCCACGAGGGGACTCTTCCTTCTGGTTTCCCATCTCCTCAGCCCCAAGGAGAGCCTGTGGACGACGCCTTCCCTGCTCATCCCTACAGAAAGGCTTTGTCTCCCAGCATCTGGGCTGCTCCTCCTGCCCTGGGAGGGCAACAAGTGCAGATAACCAGGGGCTCTGCATCCCAAAATTGGATCCCAATCCCATCCTTGGTGCTCCATGTGCTTTGTGCAGCCGTGCAACAGGTTTTCATCCCTTGTTTGCAGGCTGAGCTCAGCTTAGGCTGGAGTGGGAATCGCTGCTGGGCGGTGAGGGAGGGAGGGAGGGGGCAGCTCTGGGGCTCTGGTGGAGAGGCCCCTGTGTGCAATTGTAAGGCCATGTCATTTTTTTCCCTCTAAATCTTGTAATTTCGTGCTTCAGAGCACAACAAAGTGAGAGAGCCAGCGGGGAGTGAATTAAATTCCCCCCTGAGAGGCGGCGCGGTGGGGCCGAGCCGGGCGGGTGCTGGGGGCTCAGTGGCAGCAGCCACTGTTTGGGTTTAGGAAGAGAAATTCTGGGAGAAGTCCCATGTGGCACTTAGTGCTGGAATTATGTCCCTTCTGGTTTTCCCCCCTTTGCTGTTTTTTCTGTCCCTGTTGCACTGATTTTTGCTGGGCTGGGGCAGGGACCTGCCTTGTCAGGTCACCTCTGTGAGATGGCCCTTACAAACACCGCAGGAATTCCACGTGGCGTGCATGGAGAAACCAAATCCCTGCAAACCTCTGTTAAAGGACAGGTGGAAAAGCAGATAAGCTGAGGCAGTTGGTGCATGGACACAGGGTGCAGCCACAGTCCAGCACCCATCCTGGTGGGCGCCTTGGACGTGCCGCGCGCCGGCGCTGAGCAGCCGCCGGTTGAATTCCTCCACCCTTGGCTTTTAACTGGAATTACTGTTTTCATTTCAAAAAGTAATTAAAATATCAGACCTTGAGCTGTCATAACTGTCACATGGTTTTTGTGTTCGCATTACCGATGCACATCTATTCCTGTTAATAACAGGGAAGTAACGTGCCCGTGGAGAAACGCGCTGGGGCTGCGGCGGCTCCGCGATCTGGACCACGGGCTCGTTCCATCGGTGATTCCCAGCAGGGAATTGCCGTGTTTGTCCTCCAGGATTTTAATTTTTAATTGTTTGGATAAAGTGAGTTTGCTGGTTAGTGGTTGTGTAGTGTTTGAGTACCCCCAGGGGTGCTCACTGGCCATGGAGCAGCCCTGGGTGTTCCCGTGCTGGGCACACCGAGCTGGGGGCAATCCTGGGATGCAGCCCTGGTGATTCATCATAGGAGTATAAAATTAGGATCCATCTGCTTTTGGAACTCCTTGTTTTTTTACTTTCTTGGGGCTGTTTGGTTCGTATGATGGTGACAAACACAGCCAGGCAGGGCAGAGGGTGCCCAGTGCTGCGTCTGGGGCACAGCTGTTGGGTTTGGACCCCTTGCTATGAAATTATAATTTTTTTAGTGATATAAGCGAGACTGTATCTGTTAAACCCTTTGCTCAGCCTCCAGATTCAGCAGCAACTTTAAATTCCCTCTCATTTTGCAAGTGCTCTTGTAGTGCCTGTCCTCCTGTATGGAGCAGGTTGGGTGGATTTATCCACCAAAAAATAACATGGTACAGCTCAGGCATCCTTTGCTTTAGATCTGTTCATATGCTCTTCTCAAAAAACCCTGTGCAAAGGAGCACAGGGGGGACCTAAAATGCAGGGAATGAGTTTTCTTGGATGCTCCATTTGAGGAGTGGCCCTGTCTTGGGGTGCTGTGGCTGCTCCTTGGTTTCAGTCACGGGGTGAGCTCTGTGCTGAGGTGCATCCACGGGTGCCATGGGCAGTGCTGCTCCATGTGCCAGTGGGTTTGGGAGAGAGGGATGGAGAGGCGGTGCACAAGGCTGGGATTTATTCTTTTTAACTGGAAACACAGGCATTTAGCAAGCAGCCCTTCCTCGGGGTGCAGGGCTGCTCCTGGAAGCCGGGCAGGGATTTATGGGGGATGACAGGCAGGGACCCGCCGGGCTCTGCCCCCACCCTGGCCCTAATGCAGCCCTGTCCTGCAGGCAGGGCTACAATACCCTGCTTGTTCAGAAACGTGCCCCAAAAAAAAACAGAAGGAAGGAAAAGAATTTTTTAAAAGCAGAAATAAGGAGCGAAGGAGGAAGCAGGTCTGAGAGCAGTGGGTTGTTTTCCTCAGAGCTTTATTCCTTCTCCTGGCTCCCAGCTCCTCAGTGAAACTCCTTTTCTCAGCTCACACTTGCTCCTCTCTCCTTCTTGTCTCTTCACAGGATTTTCCTTCATTTCCCCTGCTTTCTCCAGCTGTCCCCAGTGCTGTGCACAGCTCAGTTGTGCCTGGGTGTGTTTCACAAGTGTATTTGATCGATTTATGTTGGTTTCTCCCTCTTTTGCCTGTGGTGTGATTCCCAGTGAAATGCCTTCATCCCTGTAAACAACTTAAGGAAACTCATCACTTTTTTTAGACAAACACCCCCAGAAATAAACAGGTTTAGTGGGAGTTGCTTGTGGGAGTTGCTGAACATCTGCATCACCATCAACTCCATGCAGACACATTCATGGATTGATTCAGGGTGTGATCCTGCACTTGGCCTCACCCAAGTCTGGGTGGTGACTGGAACTTTCTGGTGCTCCAATGTAACAATCAGATGTAAAATTAAATATTCACAGTGCTTTAGACATGAGGGACATCAGTGGCAGCAGAACTGTGGTGGTGGCTCTGTGCAAGGCTGGAATAAACCAACCTGGAGCTGGAGCTTTGGTCAGGTACTGGTTGTGCCTGGCCAGGGGACACCTGTGCCAGGGCTGGAGTCTGGGAATGACCCTCGGGACAGTCTGCCAGTGGCACGGGGCTGCTGGACCTGGTGACTGCTAAAGATGGGGCGGGGGTTTCTGGAAGAGGATGGAATTGCTCCCAGCTTCCCCTGGCCTTCCATGGCTCTGGGGGGGGGGTAGGAGTAGGTGCTCTGTAATGGTGTGTACTGGTCATACTGGTGTGGCAGAGAACACTGCCCTCCTCGTGCATCCCTCGCACCCCGTGAATCAAAACCATGGAGAACCAGAGCTGGAGGGGGAGTGTGCCCAGAGGAGGAGGAGGAGGAGGAGGAGGAGGAAGAGGGCAGCCTTCCTCCTGCCCACGGTGCTGTGTCTCTCTTGCAGGCTCTCCAGGTGGCACGCCAGTTCCTGCTGCAGCAGGCCACGGGGCTGAGCTCCCCCAGCAGCAACGAGGGCAAGCAGCCAGCAGTGCAGGTGAGCCCCCAGCACGTGTTCTCTGTCACCCCCTGGGTGGGAAGGGCTGGGCTACAGGCGTGGGACAGGCCACGGGTCACCTCCCTGGTCGGGATGGCTGGAGCACACAAAGAGTTAAATCCTCTGTAAAGTTCCTGAAATTTCTTGGGAGTTTTTTTTTCTGGGGGTGGGGGGTGGTCCCCGTTTTGTGCTGATGTGGTGGGAAAGGGGGATGCCAGGGAAGGGTTGGCTCCAAAGGAGAAAGGAGTGGGGAGGGGAAGGTAACCATGTGCCACCTTACCATGGGACACACTGGGAGGCACAGTTTCCCAGGGTTCAATGCTGGGTGCAGTGAGTGTGCCACAGGGGCTGGAGCCAGGGCAAGTCCTCCCACGTGGGACAGCTGCTGGGACAGAGGCCTGGTTGAGGTGGGATTTGTAGCACTGACAGGGAAGCAGGGCTTTGGGTGGGCACAGCATCCTGCTCCCAGAGGGATGGGGGAACCACCCCTTTGCTCCACTGCTCTGCCAAAGGAAAGGGGCTGAAAATGGGAAGAGAAGGAGCAGAAGAGGGGGGAAATCTGGAGAGAGGAGGAGGCAGGAAGAAGCAAAGCCCAAGCGATGGAAAGTGACAATTTAAATAGCTGTGTGGAGGGGCTCTCCCTTCAGGCTAATTAAATTTATCGGAGAACAGCAGGTTACCTTATTAGAGCCACGTGGGTTTAATTAACAAAGGAAAGTAATTAGCACAAGCGCTCTCGGAGCTGGAGGTCCTGCCTGTGCCAGGCTGAGCCGTGTGGCAGTGGGAGGGCAGCGGGAGCCGGGCTGGGATGGGCAATCCCGGGCTCCTCTCCCAACTTGGAGAGCCAGGGCACGGCTGAGCCAGCCGGCAGCGGGTCCTGGGGCTCCCAGGGATCAGGGCAGCCCGGGACCCCCGGCTGCCCCTCCGGATTGGGAAGCAGCAGCTGGGTACGAGCAGTGGGAATTAGTCAGGGCTCCTGCAGCACAAACAGGCGGCTTTTTCCAGCGGTGCTCGCAGGAAGGAAATGCAGTCACTGCATGGAAAATGTCTGCAGAGGACAAAGGCAGCGAGGGTGAAGTCAGATTCCGGTAACTGGCGCCTCGCTCCCCTCCGTGGGTGTGTGTCCCTGCACTCCTGCTGCCTGTCCCTCGGTGCTCTCCCCACCGTATTCCCGGCTGGATACACGTGCTGCTGCTTGGACATCCCGTCCTCCCCTTCCCTGCTGCTCTCCAGCCTCCCCTCCCTGCCCATCTGGCCAGCGGCTTCGCCGGAGCGAACTGGATCTCCTTCCTCTCCCCTCCTCCCTTTCTGTGTTGCAAAAGGACTTGTGAAAGTTGTAGACGTGAGTCAGAAATAGCTCATAACTCAGCAGCGACCGGCTCTTCCCCCCCCCCGCGGCCCCGCCGGCAGCTGGAGCGGGATCTGACCGAGGGGAGATAGAGGATTAAGCAGACTCCTTTGAAAGGAAGTTTATCTAACGGCAGAGTGGTGTGGATGAGACTGGCCAGGACGGCAGGAGGAGGAGGAGGAGGAGGAGGAAGGCTGGGTCCCAGCGCAGCAGCCCCTGGCTGGGGAGGGAGCAGGGAGTGCGGCAGGATGGGAGGGTCATGGAAGTGTTTGGGAACTGGGGTGTCCGTGGGGTGCCAGCCTGGGCTCCCATGGGCTTTGCCTGTGGATGTGCAGGCTGGGGAATGGATTTTCACACCGGTTGGGTATTTTGGGGAGGGGGGAGAAGTTGTGTCTGTGGCCTCCCCTCAGCTCTGTGCCAGCCAGCTCCTGGCCCCCAATCCCAGGGGGAGAGAGCAGGAGGGTCCCAGTGCTGGCAGAGAGAGCAGGAGCCCCCACAGCCGGCAGTACCACAGACCCCCGTGCTTGCCCACACTGTGCACTCTCCCTGTCACCCCCTGATGGGGACGGGACATTTCTGGGGCACCAAGCCAGCGGGAATATTAATGACATTCCCGATGGTGTGTGCTTAAAAACAACCAGGGAGCTGCTGGGCTCCGGAGCATCCTGGAGTTGGTTTTTTTTGGAGTGTGGACCCTCTCTCTCCCCAGATGCTTGGAGGTGTGTGTGGAGAGCTTCATGCTGACACTCGAGTTACAGCTGCAGCTAAAAAAAAGGCAAAAAACCCTCCACCTTTGGGTGTTTTAAAAAATGTAAAAATGGTTTTATTTCTTTGCAACTTTAAAACTCTTGGAAACTTGGTGGGTGCTGACAAAGTGTTGCATTCGGGGACTTTTGGTGCTGATGGACCACAGGGTGTTCCCATCCTGCATAGGGCTGGTGGAAGCCAACATATCCCCCTGGGATCCTGCTGGGATCTGGGGACTGGGAAATGGAATGAAGTGCTGGAAAGGCAGCACCCGTGTTCTCAGTGCTGGCTTGGAGACCCCTTGGAATCATGAGGTGTCCTCTTTGGGGTCCCTCAGCCCTCGGAGCTGGGGGGTCTCCCCTTGCTGAAAGGGGGAGAGGGGCTGAAGGGTGCCAGGGGAAGGGAGAGGAGTTTGGAGCAAACTGCGGGAAATTGCTTTTCTTTTGTCTGCTGCGCGGGGAGGGCAGCGGAGCGGAAAAGTGTATTTTGTTGATTTGAAACTTGAGTGAAATGGGTAATGAAGACAGATCAATACCAGCCCTTCTGCGTTCCCTCTCCAGGAACAAGCCCAGCAGCCCGTCCGTCTCGGCTCGCGCGGCACTAGGTTTTTCCATTTGAACTTGCAGCATCACTGTCTGTCCCTGCTCCCACTCCTCCTTCCCAGAGCCCCCGCCACCATCCTGCTCTGGGATTGGCATTTTGCATAAACAGAGGAGCAAAGTCACTTCAGTCCCTGTAGATTGGTCAGTGTGATGAGCTGTGCCAGTGCCCCGTGCCCGTGGTGTCCCCCCAGGGACACTGCCTGGGTGATGCTGAGGGCAGGGGCTCACCAAGGAGGGGGCTGTGGGTACTCCAGCACTGTCACCTCTGCTGCCAGTATCCCCAGCCAGCTCCTTCCAGCTTCCTGGAGCCCAGCCACGTGCCATTAGTGCCTCCCTGGTGCGAACACCATGCTAACGAGGATGCACTAATGAGGATGCACGTTGGGCTGAACACGCTAGGGATTGATTCCTCCTTTTCTTTACATGGAGCTGAACATCAGAGCCTGGTGTCCTCTACGCTGGTGTCTGTTCCCTTGCCCTCCTGCTGCCACCCCCACCGAGGGCAATCAGTCCTTTGGTGCTGAGGCTGTTCAGAGGGTTCATAAAACAAACCACAGCCTCAAAACCACACGGAGCTGAGCTCAGTTTCCCCTCTGACCCCGGACAGACTTTAGTCCGTCCTCTCTGTCCCGCCCTGGTGAGGTTCAGACACAGTGTGGTGTGAGTGGAGGGGTGGCAGAGCAATGTTTGGGTGGCCCTGTGCCACCCTCAGGGTTTATAGACCATGGCTGGGGTCACATTGGTGTCAGTGGCATCAGTGCCTGGCCCCGGGCACTCGGAGCTCTCGCAGACGGTCTGAGCCAGCTGGATGCTGGAGCTCTCCCAGGGACAAGAGTGCAGGAGAGGACGCCTGGATGTGCCTGGGGGATTTGGTTTGCTCTTCTGTGAGAAGTGGGTGTTCTGGGGTGGGGATTTGCTCATCCCCTGCCCCTAAAACAGCAGAACTTGAAGCTGCTCCTGGTGTTTGTTTCCCCTCTTCTACTTGCGACCTCCTTGGTTTGTTTCTGTTGGGTTTGGATTTGAAAAGGGTGTTTAAAATTAGGAAAAAAGAGCACAAACATGTTTTCTGTTGTTTCTAATGGGGACTTAAACTCCAAGATTAGATCAGAGCGAGGATGTGCAGCCTTGGGCTCTGTGGGAAGCCCGGAGCACTCCAGGCAGCTGCTGTGCACAGGGAGAGGTGTGTTCATCCTGGTGGTCCCCGAGCCCTCCTCGGGTCAGCAGGGCTTGGGGATGAGCTCTGGGCTGTGCCTGCCCTGGCGAGGGAGCTGGGCTGTGTGGTTTAGGTGTGGTTTAGGTGTGGACCAGGAGATGCTCCTTCCCGTAGCTCTGGTGACGTGCTGCCTCCGGCTCCCCGGGGACATCGTGGCTCCTGTGATGACCTCCTGGCGTGGGTGACGGCACAGCTGGGAGGTGATGGTCGGAGCAGGGATGCTTTGAGGCTGAGCAAACCACGGGCTGACGGAGGATGTCCCCACGCTGTGCCAAACCAGCTGTCCCTGGGGTCAGGAGGGCACTGTCCCTCTGGCAGCCCCACCGTGCTGAGAGCCAGGAGCAGCCGTCGGGCCGTGGCTTTCCCTGCTCTGCCTCGTGCCTGAGAGTTCAGTCTGCTTCCCATAAAAAAAAAAAAAAATCCAAGAAAAATTTCCCTGAAGAGCCTCGCTCCCTCTCCTGCTGCGTTCCACCCAACCAAATCCTGGTTGTTCCCTCAGCTGGCTTTGGCAGCGCTGCTCCAGGCTCCCGCCGAGCTTCCTTGGAATACCTGCCTCGTTTTCCACCCACTGCCTGCTGATCCGTGCCCGCCCGTCCTCTGGCACGCAGGGATTACGACCGGGACCGCCTGGAAAATCACCCCCGGAGATGCCGCTGGCCGGCGGGAGCAGCGCCGGGTGTTTCTGGGAGCAGCCGGAGCTGTTAGTAAGCAGTTCTGCGGAGTGGCAGCCGGCCAAGGCATGAGTCAAACCCTTCCTGACTCGGTGTCTGGCAGATGCCAGCCCGTGACGCGTCGGCCGGGGACCAGCCGCTGCTGGGACCTGCTTCCCGAGGGATGTGCCGGCTGTGAGGACATTCCCCAGCTGCTCCGGTGCCCGGGGGTGTGGAGGAGGCAGCTGAGTGACACTCACCCCTCGTACCACCCCTGCTGCTCTGCTGGTGCCCTTTGGCTCTCGCTCGCCTTGTTGACCACTCTGTCTGCCCGGGTCTCGGCTTTTGAGGTGGTTGTTGCCCAGAGCCCCCCGTTCTCCAGGGATGCCAGGCTGGCCTCCATTCCTGCCGTGGGGAATCTGGCACACCAGTGGTCACCGAGCGCCGTGGCTGCAGGTGAAGGGGTGTCCCAGGGCCACATGTGCCCTCACCCTCCCCACTGGCAGATCAGCTACCTGTGGGTGCCCCTGTGGGGCATTTGGCCAGGTTGGGATGGACATTTCCATCCCCCTCTTGTTTTGCCAGGGCAGCAGCTGTCACCTCCCAACAGAGGTGTCTGGGATGAGTGGCTGCAGTGGGAGCAAAACTGGCTGTAAGTGGGAATTTCCCCTTTTACTAAAGAAAGTTTCCGCTCTCCCTGGAAACCTTCACTGGGAGAAGGATGTTTTCCGTGCTGTGGGGAAATTCTTCATGTGTCTTTGGCATCCCCTGGGGCTCGAGGAGGCAGCAGAGCCGGGATGACCCTCACAAACACCAGCACCGGTTCGCCCCGTTCCCACCTCAGCCCCGCACGAAGCCACCACCATTTCCCCATGTCAGCTCTGCATCCGAGCACAGAAGAAAAAACCATTTAATGCAGACAAAGGTTGTATGAAAATATAATTCTGCTTTTGTTAGCAGCCATCAAACTCTAAAAAGCGTCACTTTTGTTTTCTTGTAACATTGTGAAAACCTCGTGTCGGATCGAGAGCTGGGGCCCTCTTGACTAATCGCCTCTCCTTTGTGTTTTTAGATTATAGGGGCAATTAGTGTTGTCAAAACCTCTGGCAATTCTCTTTGCTCTTGACAGGGTGTCAGTCCGCTGGGCGAGAAATGGAAGGTGTTATAACTCTCCGGTAATTAGGATGCCTCCGATTTGAAAATGCCAGCAAACGTGTTGGAGGGGCCGCGCGGTGGGGGCGGGGAGGCCGCCCGGATGGGGGATGCGGATGAGCAATTAATTAGGGGCTCTCATTCCGAGCACGTTTGCCAGCTGATGAATTGGCAGAGGGAAATTAGCAGGATGCTCAGCTCCCGGGAGCGGGCGCACACCCCGCCGGTCTCGCCCTCCTCGCCAGCTCCCCTCCTTCCCAGATGTTCGCCGAGGGCTTTGCACAGCTGGCTGGGAGCACCTGAGCACCCAAACAGCAGCTCTTCACTGCTGCTGCTGCTGTGGGGGGCTTGGGGCTCTCTGGTGGGTGCTGGAGCCCTTCCAGGGTGCTGTGGCTCATCCCTGAGGATGCTCCCCAGCCTCCGAGCCCTCCACGGCCGGAGCAGTGGGAGCAGCCCCAGCCCTTGGGTGGGAACTCGCAGCAATTAATCAATAACTGTGACATGAGGGCGGCTGGAGGGGGGATCACAAATGGAGCTCGACCCGTGTCCCACGCCTCTCTCCAGCAGAATGCCTGAGTAAATAGATAAGCCTTGGCAGCCTCCCTTGAAGGTCAGAGCGCTCTGAACACCCACCACGGGTGGGAGGGACTGCACGGGGCCACCCTGTGGTCCCATCCCCACTGGGCTGGCTGGAGGGGGAGGCAGCAGCCATCTGCTTTCCAAGGAAAAGGGGGGCACCCAGGAAGGGTTATTAAATTGCAGCGAAGCCATAACTTTGGGCTGGTGGGATCAGCGGAAGACTGGGACGAGGCAGCTCTCGATGGCTGTGATTGGGAAGGCATCATTGCTCCACATGGGCAGGACTCAGTAGGGCTGGAATCCATCACTGACACCTTCTCTGGAGCATTGCTGGGGGTGTGGACCCATATTTTGATAACCAAAGGCAGGGGCTGGCAGGTTCTCTCAGCCCTCCCTCCTCTTGGCATGGTAATTACGTGGGTTACCAGTGTCAGCTGGAGGTAAAGCTTTGATGTGTCTGTGGAGAACCTGGTAACCTCTTCCTCCGTGCTCTGCTTTGCGAAGTTATTTGGGTGATCAGTATCTTCCCACTTCCCTTGTGTTTCCCTCTGCCCTGCATGCTCCGGCACCTCAAGGGAAGGAGCTGTGGTTTGATGCCCAGTTCCCCCAGCTCAACTGCATTTAAAGAAGAGCACCCTCTCCTCAGGGTGGGGGAGCTCACGGTTTAGGAAGCTTCACCCCAGTGCCAGCTGCACCACGGGGCACCTCCCTGCCATTGCCATGTCCTGGCAATAGCCTTGGCGTGCCAGGATGGACCAGGAGCCAAGAGCTTCACCTGAAGGTGAGGCAGGGATGGAGGGGCTTGGAGGATGTTCCAGGAGAGGTGGGAGGCACCTGTAGGCTGTTGGCATTTGGGGAGGGTTTCCCAGGGGTGGAATGGGGAGTGGTGACGTGTCCTTGCTCTCACAGGTGCCCGTGTCTGTGGCCATGATGTCCCCGCAGATGATCACGCCGCAGCAGATGCAGCAGATCCTCTCTCCGCCCCAGCTCCAGGCCCTCCTGCAGCAGCAGCAGGCAATAATGCTGCAACAGGTAACGCTGCACCTGGGCTGCATCCAGCCAAGCAATTCCCACTGGGTCCAGGAATGCTGGAGCTGGCTGTGGGCAGGCAGATGGGTCCCTTCCTCCCTGGGTTCTCGCATTCTCCACATATTTCCTTGGGGATTCCCAGCACGTTCAGGGACAAAAACAGCTGCAGGTGCTGACAGTGCTGGCAAAGCTGGATGCTGCTGCTCAAAGCCCAGAAAATTCCTGCACGAGATCTGGTTTGGGGCTGCCCAGCTCCTGGGAAGAGCTGTGGTTGGGGTGGGTGCTCTTGGCTTGATGCACCCCAAGCAGAGCCCCTGTGGCTGCTGCTGGGCCTTGGGCATGTGCCTGTGTCCAGCTCCAGACCTGAGCACGTGGGTTTGTTTCTCATGGCCTGCTCAGCTTTTCCGGAGTGTTCAGTCGGATGGGGAGGGAAGAAAAAAGAGGAGAAGAAAAATAACAAACCTCAACTCCGAAACAAAACAGGTCTGCTTGGGTAAACACCTCCTGCCAGCGGGAGGGAGAGAGGGAGAAACCCCACAAGCATCCTCCACACCCTTCCTCCTGCCTCCAGTACCTGTTTACTCCAAACAGGCTGATAAGGATTCAAGGTTGGCCCCAGGGAAAGAACAAAGGGTAAACACTACCCTGGGTGGGTCCTTCCACAAGCCTCTTTGGAGCCGGATAAAGAAACACGTTTGACTGCAAATTAAACAACCCAGGCCGGAATAGCTCGCATTCTCCACCGGCAGAAAACCAAACATCACACCTCTCACCCCTGACCCAATGTTCCTGCGCCTGCTCGGCCCCGCTGCAGCCCTGGCTCCGGCTGGCTCTGGGGTAAACACCCAGCCCCTCCAAACCTGTTCTCCGGCAGAAACGGCGAAGTTGCTGCTGTCAGCGCTGTCAGCCCCGAGCTGATAAAGGATTCCCGGCATCCACAGGGGCATTCCTGAGCCCCTGCCCGGGGTACGGGCGGGTGGGAGGGGGCTGCGGGGTCTCGCTGACCTCCCCGTGCTCTGCCCCCCCTGCACACACCAAATCCATCACCCACAGTTTATTTAGGGCTGGGGGGGAGCTGCCTGCGGACACTGGGACCCTCTCTGGTGGTTCATTGTGGGGCTGGGGGTTTGTCCCTGTGTTCCTGGACCAGCAAAGCTCTCTGCTTTGGCTGGGGGGCTGTGAGGGGCTGGGCTGCCCATGGAGGGGGTGCAGGGCTGAGCCCCCAGCACTCGTAGGGTTGCACCAGCCAGACCAGGGGCTGTGGCTGCTTCTGACCCCTTCCCAGCTGGGAGTCCCCCTGACTCCCACTGCGATTGCCAGGGGGGTTTTGGGGTCCCACTGTGCCGAAAATGGGGTTTCCCCACTGCTGAAACACCCTGCTGCCAGAGCACCCAGGGCTGCTTCTAAGGGACATTAAAACAAGCAGCGGGTTTGGCACTGCTGATGTTGGGAGATTTCACTTGCTGTGGGGATCCAGAGCCTTTGGGAACATGTGCTTAGGGTTCTTCTGGTGCCCTGACTCCTCTGGTGGGTCCTTTCCCTCCACCCTGCAGCCAGGAGCCTACCCTGATGACACAGTGCCAGGAGCTGACGTGGCTGTGGCAAAGCCTGGTACTGGGCTTGGGGTGTTTCTGCTGCTAATCCGGTTGCTCTCTCCCCTCCCAGCTGCAGGAATACTACAAGAAGCAACAGGAGCAGCTTCACCTGCAGCTATTGACACAGCAGCAAGCTGGAAAGCAGCAACCCAAAGAGGTGAGCTCACGTGGAGGGCACTGGGCCATCAGATCTGGCGGCAAATTAAAGGAGGACCGGAGCACAACAAGGTGTGCAGGAACCCCAGCACCCCGGGCAGCAGGGAGCCAGCAGGGATGGGACACAGGGGCATCCTGCTCCGGGGGGTGTTGGATGGCCAGTCCAGGTGCTGGGAGTTGTTGTTCTTCCTCCTCCTGTCTGTGATCTGGCACGTGCACCGAGCTGCATCGTTCTCAGCAGCGTGTCCAGAGACTGTGGGGTGTGTGGGGAGTAGTGAGGTCAGGGCTGTGGGGCTGCTGGACCCTCCCCAGGGACAGGGGCAGGTCACTGCCCCCAGCACAGAGCAAGGCTCCCCAGTTCCCCCTGGGATGGGGGCAGAGGAGGCTCAGCTCAGCCCTTGCCTGGCACAGCTCGAGTTGGACAGCCCAGTCTTGGCTGAGCTGGTACAGCAGCACCCTGGCAAGTAGGCAGGGCTGGTCAGATGGGAACCCAAAGCAGGGCTTTTCCTGCCAGGAAGGGCGGTTTTCCAAAACCCCAGCACTGTGTGGAGTAGCAGTGACGCCAGCAAAGGGCTTTTCCAACGGGAGACACTCAGCCAGGGGATGCTCTCAGCCCCTGCTGGCACCGTTTTGGCAGCAGTGGGCCCTGTGCTGGGGAGGTGGGTGCCTGGTGGAGAAGCATTTCATGCCCATGTGATTCCATCAGTGTTGTATAACTCCCTTTACACAACAGTTTTTGCTGTCCTTTCCCACAGTGATGCCCTGCCTGGTGTTGTGGCTGTATTTTGGGGATGTGCCAGTCACACAGAGGCTGGGGACCAGCACCAACTGGCAGATAGCACCACTCCCTTCCTTTTCCTTATATGTTTTTGCCTCTCTCTCTCCCCAAATTGCTGCACATGGTCCTGGGTGGGGTGTTCTGTGCAGTGCACGTGCTGATTCATACCTGGCATTGCTGCCCTTCTATCCAGTGTCCTTCCCTGGGTGCCCAGCACAGAGGGACGTGGGGCTGAGCCACTCACTCCACGTCCTTGGCCAAGCATCAGTGCAAGCAGGGGATTGGGGTGCTGGGGCTGTTCGTGGCAATCACCCCTCCACAAATCCAGCACCCTGATTAATACTCACCCGTCCTCAGGGCTGAAATTCAACTTTTTTGGGGGGGCAGGAAAGATTTTAAGCCCAGACTCTGCATTGGTGTGGCAAAGAGGGGACTTGATGGCAAAAACACATTGGCATCAGAGGACCAGGGTGGCTGGAGTGGCTCAGGGTCGGGTTGGCACCTACTGCAGTCTCTGCAGACTGACCTGGGCTTTCACTGCGGGGTGGTGGCATATTTACAGGGTCAGGTTTATCAGAGCCATCTGCAGGAGCTGGAGTGGCTGCTGGTGCTCCAGGAACGGGGGAGGCATAAATCTGAGCTTCCTCAAGGACTTTCCTCTTGGCCGTGGCGATGTTCTGTTGCAGCTCTGAGCGGGGATATAATTAAGCTCTAACAAAGCACTTGCTTAGCGGGCTCCGGTTTAAAAAGCACGTGTTAACTTCTAATTAAATGGTACAGAGGAAACGGGAGATTCATCCACTAAGAAAGAGAGGCTGGTGGGGGGGAAGGGGCATCAAATGCTGCTGGAGAGGTGTGTATCCAGCTCCTGGCAGCATCATGGCTAGGAAAAGCACCCAGGGGGTCCCAGCAAGTGGATGTCAGTGTTTCCCCTCCCCAGACCCCCCAGACGGGCTTTGTGGGGTTGGGCTCACCCCAAGAATGTGGGCAGCTGCTGTTCATAAAGCCCGTGCTCTGCTTTGCCTGCCGTGGCTGCCCCGATGGCACAGGGAATAGCTGGCGTGTCTGGGATGCCGCCGGAGAGCCGCTCTTGGCCGGCGTCGGCTCCTTCCTGGAAACCCGCGGCCGGGTTTCATTACAGCCCCGCTGCGAGGGTTGTAAACCTTCTGCTTCCCCTCTGCCCCATTCCGAGGGCTCCTCTCGCCGTAACTGTGAGCCAGCAGCTCGGCTGCGGGAGCAGGAGCTGGGAAGGTGCCGAGAGCAGGGAGCAGCATCTCCTGGAGGAGCAGCTCAGATCTCCTCGGGAGCAGCACAGTTGGGAGTCCCCCAGCAGGGAAGGGGAAGGGGAGAACAGGAAAGGAGGATGGAAACGTGTCAGAAGAGCCTGTTGGCAGCATCCTGTCCTGGGGGTGCTGTGTGTCCCTTGGCTGGGGGAAGCTGTGCCACAGTGGGGGCGTGAGGAAGGGGCCAAGCAAGGCAGCTGATCCATGAATCCATGAATCCCACTGGGATGGGGCTGAGCTGCAGCACATCCCAGTCCTCCTGGAGCATTTTCCTGTGCTAGGGTGTGATGGTGAACCCCCACCCCCAGCAGCATCGTGGGTGTGGGGGGAACAAGGAGCTGTGGTGCAGGGCTGGAAGCTCCAGGCAGCCCCTCACCCTCATATCCTGCTCTTCCCTGAACACTTGGCTTCTCCAAGCCCAGTGCTGCAAGGGGCATCCGGCTGCAGAGGCCCCAGTATTCCCTGAGGGCGAGGCTGGAGGGTCTCTGTGTGCCCCCAGAGCTGCTGGGGGCGGGGGTTTGTCCCTCTGCCGAGGCAGGAGGGGTTGGGGAGGGGGTGGCGCAGGGGGGCTGCTGGCGCCTCACCCCAGTGTCAGCTTAATGAACTGCTCCTGTCAGTCCCGCGTGTCACAGTGAAACTCCTCCTGATGTGCTCATAAATCAAAGTGACGGCGGCTCTTACCCCGTAGCTGCACCCGCTCAGCTGCGTCTAATGCACGGCAGCGCTCGGGACCCTGGCCCTGCACTGGGACGGGGGCTGGGAACGGGCTGGGGGGGCCCCAGTGCAGGATTTGACCCTTACACAGAGCCAGCTCCTCTGGTGGGTGCTGGGGGCCCCCTCTGGGGGGGACTCGGGTGGCTTTTCCGAGGGGAGCAGAACTCGTGGGGTGAGGACTGGCACGTGAGGTTTTCCGTAAGGCTGGGGCTGTAATCCAGGTTCTCCCTGCCCTGCCTTCTCCAGGGAGAATTTGGCATGGAACCTGCAGGTTGGAGGGTGAGTCTGCAGGTGGGTGCACCTCCTCAGCCTTCCTCAGGGGTTTAGAGGTCTGTGGTGCCACAGTTGTTCCCCAGTGATGGCGAATTGGCTTCCCCGGGTCCTTGGTTTGACTCAGAGCAGCACCAGGACTCATATTCCTGGGGTTGGTCCCTGTGTTTGTGGTCTGGTGAACTGGAGGGATGCACATGTGGATTTGAAGCATGTCAAGGTCCAGGTTCAACCTGGACAACACCATCCCTGCCAGACCATGTGTGGGTCAGGGCTGCCCGGGGGCTCGGGGTGTCCGACTCCACCGGCCACAGCTCCGGTCAGGCCGGGCTGGGAGAGCCCAGCCAGGCTGTGGGGCTCAGGGACATGTGCAGGGATCCTCATGACTTCATCCCTTCATCCACTCCCAGTTCCTCCTGCTCCACAGTCTGGAAGTGACGTGAATGAGGCTGTGCTGGAGCAGAGCTCGGGCTTGCCCCGGGGCCCCCGGGGAGGGCGGTGGCGGAGCCGGGAAGAGGAGGAGAATCCCATCCTGTCCCATCCCATCCCAGCTGCTGTTTCTAACCAAGGCAAGGGCACTCGTGTCCATCCCACGTGGTGGCAGAACTTTCTCTTGCCGGGAGGGGACACGGTGGGGGACAGAGCTGCCTCTGTTGAAGCCCTCTGGCTGCAGCCTGGTCCTGCCTGTTTTCCTGTATCCTGCTGATCCCATGGCCTGAAGCCTTCCTGGCTCAGAAGCGAGGGTGAGCACAGGGATTTCTCTTCACTGAGCAGAAATCGCTTTGATTTGTGCCTTAATCTTTAAGCCTCAGAGGTGCAGGGCTGAGGCAGAGCCAGGGAGGATCTAGACCTGACGCTGGGGAGGACAATTCCACCGTGGCCCAGAGGTGGACAGGGCAGGGAGGGTCTGCATATTCCTCTGAGGCTGAAGAAACTGGAATAAACTGTCTCTGTGCCCTAGATAGGATTCGTGGTTGTGCCTGACTTTGCAGAGCATAGGGGTTTGTAGGGCAGTGTCTGGATCTTGTCCTCTCCCTCTGATTCACAAAGCCACGGCTGAGCATCCACAGGGATCCGCCTGCATCCCATGGGCCCATGTGGGTACAGCAGCATGTGCTGATTCCAAACTCAGTCATGGACTGGGATTGCCATGGAGAGTCTGTCTACTGTTCTCTGCTGATGTAGCCTCAGGGACCATCAGGAGATGTGCCAGGTCCCTGGGATTCCCAGTGCATCGGGGCCTGAATCCCTATAACACTCAGGAAGAACAAGGACATTTCCCATAGCACAGCTCTTGTGCTCATCAGTAAGGACACGGACATGGAAATACATCTTTGGGGGGCTGCAAAGTGCCCCCACTCCCGAGTGCAGTGAGGTGGGGGATGTGCTCCAGCAGGGGCTTGGCCGGTGCTCTCCGGCTCCTCACTCCCTGCAGGCACCGTCTGCCCAAACAGGGGGGTTCGGGGGGTTCACGGGGTCACGGAGCCGCCTGCCCCGCTAATGAGGCCGGGCAGCCCCGGGGCAGCTCCCCTCTCCTGCCCGGCTCGGATTAGCAGCTGCCTGTCCCCAGCCCTAATTGAATTCTCTCCCCTTCACTTAATTCTCATGGATTTCTCGGCGCCTCCCCAGGGACCCGTCCTGCCTAACTAGTTTAGGGCCAGCGATGCTGGTCAGAGCACGGCTGGCTCCTGGGGATGGGGGGAGAGTCCCCTACCCGGGGGGTGCCTGTGGCTGGGGTGGGGGCAACGGTACTGGCACTGGGCACCCCCTCCCTGCAGACAGTTGGCTTCAGCCCCTCACCACGGAGGGGCTCATAGCGGTCGATTTTGGCAAATAGGGATAATTTTCTGGCTTAAAGGAGGGTCCTGTGCATCCAGGGTGCTGGGAACCCCCTTTTTTTACAACGACATTGCAGCTGAGCCTCCCCCATGGTACCCCACAGTTGGGGTTCACACCCACCTCCCAGCACAGCTGGTTCTTTGCTCCGAGCAACTCCCAGCTCCGCTCACTCCCTCTCTTTCCAGTGCTTTATTTTCCCTTCCCCTTTTCCTTTCCTTCCCCTCCTCTTCCGATAGATCAAAGCCTCCGTCCGGCTCAGCCGTGAGCTGAGCAGGCCCGGCAGCAGGATGGGGACAGGGGCAGCCCCAGTGCCCCCACCACGGGCACCCCTGGCTGCCAGCACCCCTCCCCTCGGCCCCCAGCCCCTGCCTCCCCTGCGGGGCTGGGAATAAGGCGCCTGGATTTGTCCCTTTTGTCTCGGCAGCCGTTGGGGAACAAGCAGCTGGCCTTCCAGCAGCAGCTCCTGCAGATGCAGCAGCTCCAGCAGCAGCACCTGTTAAACCTGCAGCGCCAGGGCCTGGTGAGCCTCCCACCAGGGCAGGGCACGGTGCCCCTGCAGACCCTGCCCCAAGGTAAGGACCCCCAGTGGGGTGCCCTGCATGGGGGGGGCCCATGGCTGCAGATTGCCCTGCTGTGGGTGAGGGGGGCTGGGGAGGGGCTGTGCTGTTGCTTTTTCTAATGCCCCCAAAGTTGGGGTCTGATGGCATCAGCGGGCAGAGCTGGTGCAGGGTTGGGCTCCGTGTTCCTTTGGCAGAGCAGTGCAGGACTGGGGCACCTCTTCCTCTGGCATAGGGGTGCCAGGGTGTGGGGAGAAGGGGTCGCCTCCCTTCTGGGAACAGCTCTGTGTGGCTCCCTGGGTGCTGAGAGCACCTTGTTTTGGGCTCCCTGATGGGGCTGTGCAGCCTCCCCTTGCCACTGCTGGTGTTGTGGGCTGGACCTGGCTTTGGGTGATGGTTTCCCCGTGCTGGGCGAGGTCTGGGGAGCTAAGCTGTGCCAGGGGGCAGGGAAGGACCCTGTGGGTGCCCCTGCTGACCCCGAGCTCTCTCTCCTGCCGTAGCCGTGTGCCCCTCAGACCTCCAGCAGCTCTGGAAGGAGGTCACGGCTGCCCAGCCCGTCGAGGACAGCATTAAGCAAGAAGGTCTTGACCTCACCACCAACACCTCCAACTCTACCTCGTTTTCGGCCGCCAAGGTCTCGCCTCCCATTTCCCATCACCCTCTGCCCAATGGACAGAGCACCATGCACACGCCCAGAAGGGACAGGTAGAGCCGGGTCGGGCCCTGGCACTTTGTGTTTTTATTCCTGGAGAGGTGGAAGGGGCCGGGGTCTGTCGGCTGTGGGGTTGGCAGCAGGGCTGGGCTGGGTGAGGGGAGATTCTGCCTGCCCCATAATCGAGTCCTGTCGCTGTTTTGCTGCACCCGTGTGCCCGTGGAGGACAGTGAGACGTCACTGGGGGATCTCCTGTGGGTGCCCCAGGGCTGTCCCTGTGCACGGGAATGCTGGAGCATCCCAGCTACCCTGTCTCATGGCCCCTTTCCCTCTTCTGCAGCTCTTCCCACGAAGAGACCCCTGGCTCCCACCCACTCTATGGCCACGGAGAGTGCAAGTGGCCTGGCTGCGAAACCCTCTGTGAGGACTTGGGACAGTTTGTCAAGTAAGTGTCCCTTTTTTGAGGGAGGTTTTTTTTTTTTGGACAAGGGGACAACCCACACTCTGAGGCTGGGGCAGAACGGAGCTGGTGGAGGGGAAAACTCTGGAAGTAGGTCCAGACACCCCAAAGTGTCTGCCCAGAGCAGGGGGACCCCATGCAGAAGGAGAAAACGCACCAGGGGTTGCTGCTGGAGTCCCCCATCCCTGGAAGTGTCCAAAGCCAGGTTGGACGGGGCTTGGGGGCACGGTGTGGGCTGGTGGAAGGTGTCCCTGCCCATGGCAGGGGCGTGGAACTGGATGGGCTTTAAGGTCCCTTCCAACCCAAACCATTCGATGAGTCGATGACTCCAGAGAAGGAGAGACCCCGTGCAGGAGGCAGGAGCGGGCAGGCGCCGGCAGCAGGCACGGGGGGCTCCCAGCTCCCTCCTGGGGGGCGCGGGGGGAGCAGATGGCGGCGCGGGAGCCCCGCTGACACCGCTTGTGGGCTCCGGCGCTGACTGATTAACTCTGCTGTCGCAGAGCCCTCTGCCAGCGTCAGGGTCAAACAAATTGTTTTCACGCTTCGTCAGAGGTTTACTTAATTAGTTCATTTGCAATTAGATCTCTTTGTAGCCAGGATTTTTAGCAAAGACATCAGAAGGAACTGACGGGCTCGCTCGCTGCTTCCCCCGCCTCCCCGGCTGTCTGCTCGGCCGAGGCGCCGGGCTCTCCATCAGCCAGGTTTTGGGGTTTTACAGACTGACCCTGCCCTCTGCCACGCCTCTGGCTCCGGTGAGAGCATCCCTCGGACCTCACCAGCCTCCTCATTCCCAGGGAAGGAGCTGGGCAGAGGCCTTACACGGGAGGATGAGGAGGTGTGAAGGCAGCCTGGGGAGGTTGGGGTGGTGAGTGAGTGAGTGATTCAGGCTCCTGTGTCCTCTTTCCTCTGCCTCTGACTCATGGGGTGAACCCAGATGAGGCATCTCCTCCCACCTTGCAGGGCATGTTTGAATGGCACAGGGCAGATGAGTGAGCTCTGGTTTGGAAGCTGGAGCTGGAGTTGGCAGGGGATGGCCAGGGCTGGGTGACAGTGTCAGGAGAGCTGTGCTGTGCCAGCCAGGGCTGTGGGATCCCTGCGTCCCACCTGCCTGTCCCCCTTCCCAAGGGACAGCCTCCCAAAAACACTGGTGAAGGGCTTCTGTCCCCTCTCTGCTAATGTGGGGACATGTCAGGCTGTGGGACAGGCAGATAGAAAACTTCCAGCTCCCAAAGGCCGAGCCCAGCTGGAGAGTGGGCCTGGCCTTGAGTCTGAGCACTGGCTTTGAGCCTGCTCTGAGCATCACCTCCGTGGAGCAGCTCAGAGAGCCCCAGGGTTGGGGTGGAAAGGGGCAGCATGGCCTTTGAGCAGTGATTTATGAGGGACAGGGTCAGTGGGAGATGTCTCCATTTCTGTTTGGCACAGCCTGGGCTCTGACAGCCTTTTCCCTGGAGAAGCAGCTGTGCCCTTGCTCTGCTGTACAGGGAGAGGAGCGGGGCTGGGGCACAGGGGGGTTTGCTCACTACAGGCTTGGCAGCTGGTCCCAGTTACCTGCCTTGTTTGTGCAAGTTGGGGCTGGAAGTCTCTCACAAACAGCCGGGTGAGACTCCTGCCCTGCTGCTGGGGCACCTTCTCCTGGGGGCATCCCCAGGCTGCTGCTCTGCTGGGTTTGGGGGTGAGGACCCCCACAAGGGGCTGCTGGGATGTCCCTGCCTCTGCAGCAAGTGACATCCCCAGGAGTCCTACCCCTCCCCGAGGAGGAGGGAGAGCAGTGAGGACCAAAGGTCCTTCTGCTTCATAAACACAAAGCGCCTCATAAACACGAGGCATGAAAGTGGTAGGATGAGGAACACCCTGGAAATGCCACCTTCTGCCTTCGGGGGTTTCCTTAGAGGGTGTAAGTCAACCTCCATAATCACACCTTTGTCCTGGAAACCTGCTTCTCAGGTCTTCCTGGCACCTCCTGCCAGCAGCCTTCTCCAGGAAAATCCGTGGGCTTTCCATCAGGCAGTGGCTGCTCCTAAACACCGTGTGGTTGCCACAGGCAGGGCTGGGTGGGTATGGCCCTCTTCCAGCCCAGGTCTGGGGAGATGGCACAGCCTGGTTTGCTCAGTCACTTGTGTGCCTCAGTTTCCTTTCTGCTCATCCCACTTGGGGCACCAGTGCCAGACCATCCCTGAGCAATTTGCAGGTCAGGGCTGATCCCAGGTGTGGCCCCAGCTGAGGGGGAGCATTTTGGGCATGTCCAGGCATAACCCTCTGTGTTCTTCTCCCCAGACACCTCAACACAGAACATGCACTTGATGACCGAAGCACGGCCCAGTGTCGAGTCCAGATGCAAGTGGTACAGCAGCTGGAGATACAGGTGGGTGCTGCCCCTGCCTCCATGGACATGGGTGTAAAAAGCCATCTCCTTCTCCCTCTGCACTCCATGCCTTGGCTGCTCTCCTCAGGGGGCAGCAGGGAGGTTGGGGACCATAACCACCCACCTGGGGACTCATTTCAAACATCCTTCCCAAACAGCAGTGTTGGCCCTGGGCTGCATCTGGGTGGAAATGAAGCCCTGGGCAAATCTCAATATGGTCCCCCCATACCAGCATCCCTGTGATGGGGCTGGAGGAAAGGACAAGCCATCCCTCCTGCCCAGAGTGTCCCTGTGGGTTCAGGGAGATGCCACAGATGTGGGAGGCACGTGCTGCCAGGAGGGTTCATGTCCCACAGGTGGGACATGAGCTGTGCCACCTCCGTGAGAGCTGCAGGGCCACTGGGGTCCTTGGAAATCAGGCCACTTATTTTGGTGGCTGAGCGTGGTCTGTGGAGCCCAACTTGGGGTGCTATTTTTGGAAAGGCAAGTTCTTTAAATAGAGCCTCTCTCAGCATCTCTGGCTCCCCGACGTGCTGTGCATAATTCGGTTAATGGAGAAGGGAGGGGGGGAAGAGGGGAGGAAATGGGGAGTTTTCATCTCAGGACTTGAAAGAGGGACAGGGCAGGGGTCTGTCAGGGGGTCAGTCACCAAGACCCCCGTGGTGTCTCAGTGCCTGGGTGCCCGGCTGGGGCTGGCAGGAGCTCAGGGCAGTGTGTGCGTGACATCACAGGGTACACTGGCCCAGGGGACAGTGGGATGTGATGTGGGGCACCCTTGGGAGCCTCCACCCTGAGTCACAGCAGCTCGGGGGGAGCTGTGGGATCGAGGAGAGGCTGCAGCCTCCTGGGTGATCCCTGCAATCCATCCTGCTCGCCGGCCCTCGCCAAAGCGAGAGGTTGAAAGCAATTACTGGGGCTTAAAGAGGGGAGGGAAAGGGAAAAAAAAAAAAAGCTGAAGGGCGAGCAGAGCTGTGTGTGCAGAGAGGAACCTGCCACGGAGCCACCAATTATGAAGTTTAGAGCGCGGAGCTCCCGCTGTGCCGGCGCGGAGCGTCTGCATCACGAGGGGAGACCTGTCAGCTCTAATGAGCACCACGACAGCACGAAAGCATCTGAGCTGCTCCAAACTTGCAGCAAACTCCGCTCTGGCTCCTGCCTTTAACTCCTTCCTCGCCTGGCCCCGGTGCCTGCCCAGGGATGGGGCTGGGCTGGGCTGGTGGGAGCTGGCGGCGTGCGGGGAGGTGGCCGAGCCCCAAGCTTTGAGGGTCCTGGTGGAAAGGGAAGGTGACGGAGGAGAGAGCGGGTGTCAGGTCCCATCGCCTCCGCCGGGCTCAAAATCTCTCCTGGTGCCACAGTGAATATTTCACCCTGCTCCGCACTCCGGGGAGTAAACAGGAGGGAGGTGCAGTTAGAGCAATGTTGGGAGTCCAGGGGGATGGATGGAGGGCTGGGTGGGGGGACAGGGAGCTGCTGGGGAGCAGGAGGAGGGCGAAGGGGACAGGGGCAGCAGACACCAGGGCACAGGCATGAGAGCACCTGGGAAGGGAGCATGAGAGCTGCAGTGGGTGGCCTTGCTGGTGAGTGGCAGCATGAAGGGATGGGAAGGGGCTCCCTTTCACCATAGATTTTTCATCTAACTGCACACACGGAGCTGGAATGGCCCCCGTGCCCCCCACAATGGGTGCTGCAGACCCCATGGAGCCACAGCCCCACTGGGGCTCTCAGGAACCAGCATCAGGCAGGAGGTGGCACCTGGGGAGACACAGAGGGTCTGGGCTGCCTGCCCAGACCAGGGCTGGGGGCTCATTGGCAGCTCCTCCAGGCCACGGGCACCTCCATGGTGAGTTGGGCACTGCCTGACCATCTCCCTCCTGCTCCTTGCCTCTCACAGCTGGCCAAGGAGAGCGAGCGTCTCCAAGCAATGATGGCCCATCTTCACATGAGACCTTCAGAGCCAAAGCCTTTCAGCCAGCCTGTAAGCGTGAGTTCCCTTCCTGCCCTCTACATCCCCACAGCCACCCCCTGTCCTCCCCTTCCCCCTCACTGCTGTCCCCTCTCTGCCCTGTGCATGGTCACCACCGGGTGGGCTCTGTGGTATGGACAGAGTGGATGCATCCAGGCCCGTAGGTGCATCCCATCCCATGGTTGTGTCCTCTCCTGCCGTTGCATCCCCATCCCTTGGTTGCATCCCATCCCTGCCAAGCCCAGCAAGTGTCCCCCCTGCGAGCCCCTCCCTGCCTGCTCTGGGGCACGAGCCAGCTCAGCCCTCCCAAGCTCCCGCTGTGCCGGGGGCTCTCCCAGCCCCTGCCTTCCCAACCACCCGTCCTGCCTTCCCCTGTCTGTGCAGCTGAACCTGGTCTCCAGTGCCACCCTCTCCAAGAGCACTTCCGACACGTTTCCCGACGGTTTACCTCATCCCCCCACCTCAGCCACGGCGCCCATCACCCCCCTGCGGCAGGGCCCCTCCGTCATCAGCTCTTCCACTTTACACAACGTGGGGCCCATCCGCAGGAGGAACTCGGAGAAGTTCTGCACCCCAATATCCTCAGGTGAGCTCCGGGCTGGGGCTCAGCACCCTCCACGCTGCAGTCCCTGGGTCCCAAAGCGGGTCCCTTCACCCCTCGCCCTCCCCTTTCCTGTCTCCCCCCAGAACTTGCACAGAATCACGAGTTCTACAAGAACGCCGACGTCCGGCCGCCCTTCACGTACGCCTCGCTCATCCGGCAGGTCAGTGGCTCCCCGTGCCCTGGGGTCCAGCTCTGCACCCCGAGACCTGCCTGTGGAGCACCTCGGGCACAGCTGTGCTCTCCCCCACTCTCTCTGTCCTGGGGGAGCCCCCACATCCACTGAACCCCCCGTTCTGCCCCTCGTGCCTCACCGTGGGACGGGTGTCGAACCCCAGCAGGGCATCGTGAGTGATGCTCTTGTCCCCTCTCTGGTTCCCCAGGCCATCCTGGAGACCCCCGACAGGCAGCTAACGTTGAATGAAATCTATAACTGGTTCACGCGGATGTTTGCCTACTTCCGGAGGAACACGGCCACCTGGAAGGTGAGAACAGCCCTGCTTGGCACCGTGGGCTCACCCCATCCCACCCAGGCTCACCCCATCCCACCCGGGCTCACCCCACCCCACCTGGGCTCACCCCATCCCACTGGGGACTCCCTGCTGCAGGAGATGCTCCAGCTTGTGTGGGCACCTCTGGTAAAGGATCGGTTCATTGCACAGCTCTGAGATGGTGCAGGAGATGATTTTATGGATAAATCCCCCATTTTCCCTGCCCAAAATGCATCCCTGGTCTGTGAGGGCACATCATCCCTGTGCTGGGCTTTTCTGTGGAGCTGAGGCTGGAGGAGAAGGGCAGAGACAAAAGAGAGACACTTGAAATAACAAAGAAGGTTAATGATAACCTGGGGGCAGGTGACTCTGAGAGATGAGGTGGCTGGGCCTCAGTGGTGGCTGGGGGTGCAGGTGCTGGGCCAGGGGGATGAAGGAAGAGTGGGGATGGCAGGGGGACCATCAGTAAGGGGAACTCCTCTGCCAAACCCCACGCAGGTGCCTGTGCCCGTCAGGTCCCCCCCACCCGGTGCACGGTGCTGTACAGGCAGGTACTGAAAGAGGGGGGGGCTGATGGAGGTGAATTTGGGGGCAGCACGTGGGTGCTGGGGCTGCTTCCCCCTTGGTTATTTAGAAATTGAGATTTGAGAAAACACATCTCAGAGGAGCAGGGAGTTGTGGAAGGAGCAGTTCTGTGATTTAGTTATTGCCTCGTCCAGGGAAGATTCACTTATTTATTGTTTCCTGCTGCAGCTCCCTCCTGCTCGGGGCAGCAAGGAGTGAAGTGGCAGAGAGACACGTGTTAGTTTAAAATAAAAATAATTAGAATCAGCGAGGTGCAAGCGAGGTGGAGCATTTTGAGAGGGTTGAGGAGGAGGAGGAATCAGTTCTCCCAGAGCCCAGGGCCCCCGTGTGTCGCTGTGGCAGATCCAAACTGGGATCTGCAGAAAACTTTTGGGTGAATAGCAGGGGTTTTGGCTCCCCAGCACTCTGGGTGGGCCCTGCCATCTGGAGCATCCCGGCACTGGGATGGGGCTGGGCAGGAGCAGCCGGGTGCTGGGGCAGTTTTGGGGCTGGCCACGGGCTGTGTCGGTCTGGAGTGCCCCTCGCTGCACACGGGCAGCACTGCAACTGCACCACGAGAATCGCTGGCCCCTGCCACTGCTGCCACCACTGCCACTGCTGCCACTGCTGCCACCACTGCCACTGCTGCCACCACTGCCACCACCACCCCGGCCTGGGGACACCCCACACTGGGCACACGGTGGGCAGCAATGGGGAGCACTGGGGCAGAGCCCACTCTGGCTGTCACTGCTCCCAGCACTGTCCAGGGCAGCACTTCACCTGCTCTGTGCCTCAGTTTCCCCCTCTCTGGAATGAGATGATGGCAGGTGAAACGTCTTTTTCCCACCTTTTTATTAGCTGGAAGGAATAAATATTTTGGGAGGTTTTTTGCGGCTTCCCCGCACCCTGTGTTACCAAGGGCAGGGTTGGAGAAGGGCATCTCCCAGCCCTTCTGCTTCCCATTGTTTTTTTCTTTATTTTTTCCTATTCTATCACCAAAGGGGATGGCAGGAGATTAAAAAGAGCTGGAGGGAGGGATACTTCTCTTCATAACTTCCAGTGTCCAAGGTCAGGCTTCTTCTGAAGGAGTGGGATACATGGAAAAAAATTGTGTATTTCCTCTCTTTGAAAACCACCATTTCTGCTGCAGCTTCTCCCTCATCTCCTGGAGCTCCCCTGGGATGGGACAGGGGTGCTGGGGACCAGGGTGGGTGCCCCATCCCCATAGCAAGGGGGACCCACAGGAAGCCCCCAGCACAGCCCAGGGAGTGGGTGGAGGGTGTAAAGCAAACATCATTAGAGGAGAGAGATGAGAAGCAAACAGAGCAGCCGGGTCTGGCTCTGAACAAACACTGTCGAAACACAAAAGCCACGTTGGGCTGAGGCACCGTGGGGGTGGATCCCATGCCATGGGGGGCTCACCTGGCACCTCCTCCGTGTCCTGGGCACAGCACCCTGCCCAACACCCAGCACAGGGATGGGGCATCCCAGGCTCTGGGGATGCTGAACCACATCCTGCCCACTGCCAGGATTTATTTTACCTCCTCTGGAGCCTTTGCAGGCACATCCCCACCCGGGTGCTAGGGGGTTGTCACCAGGGAGAGAGGGGGATGTGGGCACTGCTGGGCCTGTGTCTCTGTGGGCAGGGAAGGTTCTGCTTTGCCATGCTCGTGGCTGCAATCAGGGCATTGCTTGGATGAGGAGCCCCCTGCACAGGGAGGAGGGAGGAAGGGGAGTGTGGGCAGGATCCGGCCAGGGAGGGATGTCCTGTGTTTGCTCACCAGGGACAGGGTTCAAGGGCAGTGGAAGGCCCCAGCCCTGGCTGGACTTCAGACCCCAGGCAGGGGATGGTGCAAGGACAGAGTGGGGTACAGGGGCTTGTCCTGCTCCCCCATGGGTTTCGGGGTCCTCCTTGGAATTCCAGGTCCCTGGGATGTCTGTCTTCACAGTGCTGTGCAGCCCGACCCTGGGAGGTGCCAGCACAGGGTTTGAGGCTGAGTGGTGCCTCCCAGCAGGGCATGGCCCAAATGGAGCATGTCCCTTTGGGTGACAGTGACAGTGGCTCTGAGCTGGGACCCCAGGACCTGGCTTCAACCACGCCTGAGAGGCTGGGTCAGCTCTTGATTTGTGGGGTCCTGCAGGGGTTCCCCCCCAAAAATCACATCAGACAGCACTGGCTGGGCCCAAATCTCCTTCCCCGGGAGCTCTGAGAGCTGCTTACAAAGTTTCCCCTTTGGACTGTGCTCTGCCAAAGGGCCAGAGGAGCCAGAGCCCGGCCCTGCTGCCTGTCACCGTGTCACCTGGCCGTGGTGTCAGCACAGGGCACTGTGGCACGGCTGGAAGGGGGTTTGGGGGGGAAAGGATGGATGGAGGACAAGGGAAGAGCCCAGCTTTGTTTGTTTTTCTCCTTAAATGAGAAGCAAAAGGGGTGATGGTGCCATCTGATGAGGTTCTGGGCACTGGCAATTGCCTGTGGAGGGGGGGCTCAGTCCTTGTGTCTCCTCTCCCTTGTTGTGCTGGCCAGCTCCTTTGTTTATACAGCCCCCGTTCGACCTTTTAAATTGCTGTTAATGTTTTAGCGTAACGAATTAGTCTCTCATCACGAATCAGGACTCGAAATAAAAAAAAAAAAAGGGAGAAAAAAAAAACCCTCCGAGGCCAACTTCCTGAAATTGGGGTCATTCTCATTTGCAAGGCAGAGAATCTGAGAACCTTAATGCAAGGAAATTTATTCAAAGGCAGAGCCCCGGCGTGATTAGGCCCTTTGTAATTATAGCTCGGAGAGATTCCACTCCAGCCTCCTGCCTCCCTCATGGATTAGCAAGTGAGTCGGAAAAATACACAGGATTTAATTAGAGGCAAATTAAAATTGGTAATGAAATAGGGGCAGTAGCAAATGGCAGGGAGTTGGAAGGGGAAAAGGGAGCTGGTATCTCTCGGGGCTGTGCTGTCTGCCTACGTGTGTGTCTCTTTATTTTACATTTAGAAATGTAAAGATGGTCGATGTAAAGAAGAAAGGGAGGGAAAGGACCAAAAGGGGAGGGTGGGGGAAAGGAAAAGAAAGGGAAAGATTAGCTGGCTTTGCCAAGCAGAGAGGGTGGTTCTGCTCCCAGTCCTTGCTGCTGTCACTTGTCCCATACTGTCCCCCCTTCCTCAGCATCTGGCCAAGGTCCTCAAAACGGGGTCATGTCCCACGTGTGGTTTGGGGGCTCAACAACTCAACCCCCTCAGCGCTGGTGGAGTGGGGGAGCACTCACAGCAGCCTGGGTGGCTTTGGGGGGGGAACGTTGGGGTGTCCAGGACAGCCCGGAGCTGTGGGGACCTGCGGGGCTGGCCAAGGAGGAGGATGGTGAGGAAGAGGAGGGTCTGGGCAGTGGGATGAGGGTCACACCACTGAGCTCCTGCCCTCTCTGCCCGCAGAACGCCGTCCGCCACAACCTGAGCCTGCACAAGTGCTTCGTGCGCGTGGAGAACGTCAAGGGAGCCGTGTGGACCGTGGACGAGCACGAGTACCAAAAGCGAAGGCCACCAAAGATGACAGGGTGGGTGCTCCTTTGCCATGGACACAGCCTGGGGGCTGTGCTCACACCTGCCCCTGCCGCCAGCGTCCCTGTCCCCAGGCCAGCAGCGCTCAGCCCTGCGTCCTTCTGCTTTCTCTCTTTCTGCAGGAGTCCGACCTTAGTCAAAAATATGATTTCAGGACTCGGTTACGGAGCACTTAATGCAAGTTACCAGGTAAGGACCCCGTCCTGTCCCTGACTGGGACATGGGGGCACTAAACCCCTCCACGGTCTTGTTTCATCAGGAACTGTAGTGAGGGACAAGGGGAATGGGTTCAAACTGAAACAGGGGAAATTTAGGTTAGAGATACAAAAGAAGTTCTTCCCCATGAGGGTGGGGAGGCCCTGGCACAGGTTGCCAGAGAAGCTGTGGCTGCCCCATCCCTGGAAGTGTTCAGGGCTGGGTTAGAGGGGCTTGGAGCAACCTGGTCTGGTGGAAGGTGTCCTTGCCTGTGGCAGGGGGTGGAACTGGTGTTTTTTGAGGTCCCTTCCAGCCCAAACCATTCTGATTCTCTGATGCCCCTGCAGGCTGCGCTGGCAGAGAGCAGCTTCCCGCTGCTCAACAGCCCCACCATGATCAACACCAGCTCGGCCAGTGCCATGCTGCACGTGGGCCACGACGACGTCAGCAGCACCGTGGAGCAGGTCAACAGCAACGGCAGCAACAGCCCGCGCCTGTCCCCGCAGCAGTACAGGTCAGCCTGGGGGACAGCAGGGATGGTGCTGGTGGGGGGCACTGGGGTGCTGGAGGGTCTGGAGCTAAAGGACGGTGACACATCGGGCACCAGGAGCTGCTCGTTGCTTCCCATGGCTCCTGTCCCCTGGGTGAGGAGGGTTTTGGACCAAGAGCTTTGTGGGGTTGTGGCTGGGGGGGAGCAGCCCCCCGAGGCTGAAGGCTTCCCCCCCCACAGCCACCCAGTGCACGTGAAGGAGGAACCAGCTGAGGCGGAGGACGACAGCAGACCTGTGTCGCTGATGGCCACCACCAACCAGAATGTGACGATTCCCGACGACAGGGACCTGGAGGAGGAGCTGCCAGTGGAAGACTTGTCCTAAGGACTCCTTCCTCCTCCCCACCGAGGGGCAAACCCTTCCCACCCTCCCGGCCGGAGACCAAGCGACGCTCCCACCTCCCCAAGGTGACCTTCGGCGTTAACCTGTTCTTTAAAGGCACTTCCACGAAGCAAAAGGGTTTCCTTGGGGCAACAACCCGTTGCTGCCGGCGCGTCCCTCGCGCTCCCACTGCCCTGCGCCGCAGCCGGTGACTGACCGACCCCGCCGCGGGCACGTCCCGCGGCACGAGAAGCAGAAACCCAAGAGCTGGACTTTTTCTCCCCTCCTCCCTTGGTTAGTGACTGGTGAACGAGGATGGTAGGTTGTTTCTGTCCGAAATGGTCCCTTCCTTCCCTCCCCGTGCGCGGCGGGCGCAGGGAAGGCACCTCTGTCCCCTCCTCCCGCGGTGCTCGGCCGCCCCGAGGCAGCGATGGCAGGAACCCGCTGTTGGCAGGAACCCGCTGTTGGCAGGAACCCGCTGTCGTCCCTCGGGCCCCCGGTGGGTTTTGCACTAGGAGGGACCGTGGACCCTGCCCACGTGTGCTGCCTCCAGCCAGCTTTGGGGGAAGAAACAGCAGAAACGGGGCTGAGCCCTCTGCCGTGCTCTGGATGTCGGGCTCACACCGTTGTCTCGAAGCTGGGGAAGGACGAGGACCGGCACGTCAGTGGGACGGGGTCTCCTCTGCCTTGTCACCTCCGGCCAGTTGCTAAACTGCCTGGCAAGCAGAGCGGCCTCCCAGGCTCTGCCCTCCACGGGCTGGTGGGGGCTCCTGGCACCCAGCACTGCTGACCATCCGCAGCCGACTGCCAGCGCCAGCAGTGAGGACTCGGTTCCCCCCGTCCTGCTCGACGTGGCTGCAGCGGGTGACACCTCCCAGCCCATGTGGGGATGGCCAGTGGCCCAACTTCAATTTCAGGGAAAGGCTCCCGGCCCCCTGCGTGCCCCGTTCCACCTCCAGAGCCCGGGGCAGGGTCTCAGTGGAGCAGGAGGGCAGCATCCCCCAACACCGAGCCTCCTCCTGGGGGCACCTGCAGAGGAGCTGGGGGTCATCCCATCCCGCTGGGAGCAAAGCTGAGCCCAGTGGATCCCCGTGGTGGCCAAACCTGGCCACGGCCCCCAAGCTGAGCCTGTTGCAGGGGGGCTCCCGCTTTCATCTTTTCTTTTCCTTATCCTTTTGTGTGTGTCCAGATGGGAAGATACCAAAAGATTTCTAGAGACAGAAGGTCCGTAGTTCAGGTGAACAGATGGTATTAATGCCAAAAGAAAAAAATATTAATAATAATGAGAACAACACAACCAAACACCCCTCTTCTCCCTGCTCTTTTTTTCTGGGGCGGTGATGTGGGTACCCAGTGCCAGCCTCCTCCTGGCAGGCAGCGTGGCATCCCCAGTGCCCTGTGCTGGCTTCAGGGAGCATCACCTTCCCTGGGGAGCATCACCTTCCCTGGGGAGCATCACCTTTCCCGGGGAGCAGCACTTTCCTGGCACAGCCAGGCTGGCACTGGCTGTCCTGGCACACAGTGGGGTCTTTAGGGGCTCACTGTGATGGATGTGGGGCTGCTCACGTTTTTGAGCCCAGCTCCAGGTTCCCCCAGAGCGATCCTGAGGGTTGCTCTGTCCCTCCCTGTCCCTGCTACTCCAGGATGAGACACTGGGGGGCTGTGTCACCCCCACGGGACATGGGGCTGACACCCTGGGAGCAGTGTTGAAAATGCAACACACAGCTGTGGGTCACGGGGGGTTGTGTTTGTCTGTCCCCATGACACCTCTGTGACCTCCCCAAGGGGCTCCTGGTGCTGTGGGGTTTCCCCAGGGTGAGCCCATACTGGACTCATCCTTTTCACTGCCTGAAGCATCCTCGGTACCCAGGTGGCTGCAGAGAAGGGGGGGTGTCCCTGGGTCCCCCCTGCAGCCGGGGGGACGTTGAGCAGAACCCCCCACCCCAGCCCGTGTTCCCCTGTGCCACCCCGTGTGCCACCCCCTGTATCATCCCGTGTCACCATCTGGGGGCTGCCGAGACCCTCGGGGGGCAGCGAGGGGTGACACAGCCCGGTGGGGCTGTTAACGGGGGTCACCGGCACCCTCCCCCCCCGGCTGGGGCTGCAGGGGGGGCCCTTTCCCATTCCCAAATCCAGGGTTTTCCCTGCTCCCCCCGCCCTCCCTCCCGCGGGTCCCCAACACCCCTGTAGGTGTCACCCGCGCTTCTCCCGCTGCCGAGCGCCGGGACAGCCCTTCCCAACCCCTTCCCAGCCCCTTCCCAGCCCCTTCCCGGCCCCTTCCCCGGCTCCCGGCCCCTTCCCAGCCCCTCCAGCCCCGGCCCCGGCCCCCCCCGGGCTCCGCCGGACACCAAAGACCCTGCCCGGGCCGGGGGGCACCACCCGACCCCCCCTTTTGCTGTCCCCCCATCCTGCCAAAGGAGCTGTGAGGCTGGAGGCACCGGCAATTTTCCCCACCTACTTTATTTTATCCTTCTTTTTCCTTTTCCTTTTTTTCCCTTTCCCCTTTTTTGTTTTTTGGGGTTTTTTTCCTTGTTTCTTTATTCCCCCTTTTTTTCTTCCCCCCCCCTTTCTTTCCCTTTATTCCCTTTCCCCCTCCTTTTTCCTCTTTCCTTTTTTCATCTTTCCTTTTTTCCTCTTTTTACCTTTTTTTTTCCCTTTTTCCTTTTTTATTTTCCTTTTTTCTTTTTTCTGCCCCGTTTTCTTTTTTTCCCCTTTTTTCCCATTTTTTTCCTTTTTTTTTTTTTTTCTTTTTCCTTTTATTTTTTCTCCCAGTTCTTTTCATTTTAAGTTATTGTAGTACCAAGTTTACAGCTGGCACGGGGGGTGTTGCTGGGGGGACCTGTTGCTGCTTTACTCGTACGAAGGGGAGGGGAGGGATGGACAGGCTGGACCTTGGGGTGCAGCCCCTGAGCCCCTCACTGCTGCTTGGCCACAGTTCCCCCTCTGTGGGGAATCACCTGCCTCCATCCAGGTTTTTGGGATTTTGGGTTGGCATTGGGGGTCATTGTGCCTCTTGGGGCAGTGCCAGCACCCTGTGTTAGACCCCCTCACTGTTTGGAGGAGGTTTCAGTAGCTGCTCCCCTTTTTTTGCCCTTCCTGGTCCTTTTCCCTCACCTTCCTCCCGCTCTTTAATTTTTTGGCAGCTTTGCACCCTGGATTCTGCACAAATCCAAGGTGGCCCCGGCATTGCCGAGCCCTCCAGGGCTTCTTCCTCGGGGTATGACTTTTTTTTTTTTTTTAAGCTTTTCCAGAGGTACAGACACCCCTGAAATGCCTCCCAGGGCCTCCAGATCCCCGTGGATTCAGCCAAAATCCCCGTGTGCCATCATCACCCCCAGACCCCGTGAGGAAAACCTGGCACCTTCCCCTCCGTGCTGAGTATTCCCAGAGGTTTTCAGCTGCCATCCTGGCTCCCAAGAGCACTCTCTCTATATATTATATATATATATAAATAAATATATAAATATAAAGGAGTTTTTTTCTTTAAACACATGCACAGGTTTGGAAAGTCCTGTGGCTCCAGGTGATGCCTCTTCCCCGGGAATCCTGGTGGGTGATTTCACAGGAAACGTGCCCGGTTTGATACTCAGGGGTAAATTTAATTCCTTCTCTTACCCCCTGCCCAGCCCAGCTGCCTCTGCAGGGTCCCACCTGAACCAGGTACTGTGTGTGTCCCCCCACCCTCACTGCCCCCACCCCTCTCACCCCTCTGGTTTATTTTTTGCTGGTTTGAATTTTACTGAATTCTGCGTGTCTTACCTCAAACACACGCCGGAGGCCAGGGGGGGAGGGAGGATCAAGGACCAAACACAACGTGTGGCAGAATTGTATGTCTGTATATATTGAGATATATATATTCTGGGTTTAAACCTACCAAAACAAATGGTTCTTTTTGGGCTTTTCTGTATTTTTGTGTTTTATTTCCTGTTTTTGCCCAGCCCAGGGCACTTCTACGAGGGGAAGCTGTGGGCACCTCTCTGTACGTAAAGGCATTTTTCTGGTATCTCCCACTGAAGGAATTACTAATTTTTCCATGTGTTTTTCTTTTTTTTTTCCCCTCTCAATGATGTCTTCCCCCAAATAGCTCAAACAGGTACCCAGGGGAGGGGGTCAGAAACCAGCACTCCGAGGGAGGGGGTGCTGGCAGCACTGGGGGCTGCTGGGGAGGCCGGTGGAGGGGAAGGGAGAGCAGCAGCTGAACCTGCATCAAACCAAAGGGTTTCTTTGCTTTGTTTACACCCCTGGCCAGCCTCACGCCCCAGAGGTCCTCCCTGGATCTAGGTTTTTGTCCTGGAAGTGTTGGGGAAGGTCGGGACAGGCCAGAGCCAGGGGCTGGGGGGCTCTGCACCCCCGGAGGTGCCCGCTGTGGCCCCGGGGGAGCCCATGGCTCGGGCACATCCCACCCCCGGCTGCTCCGGGAAGCGCCAGCCCTGCCACAACCTTTTCCTGTTTTTCCCCGTTTGTTCCCATCCTCTTTGGCGCTGGGTGGGAAGGTGATGCTGGGGAGGTGGGACCAGGTCCGAGGGGGCCGGAGGGTGGAGGGGAGGGCGGATGTGTAAAGAGCGACCCCTCCCCTCCCTGCCGTCCTCGTGCTGTATAAAGGAAATAGCCTCGCTGTGTATTTGTACTCTGAGCTCCGTGTGTCTGCGTTGGCAGACGGTAAACCCTTGTACAGTAGGTCTAGCTGCATGTAATCTGTATGGACAATGGCATTATAAAATGCAATAAAATAAATTACCTATCGTGCCGCTGTGCTGGCTGCCTTCTTAGGGTTGTTGGTTTAAAAAAAATGTGCGTTTTTACAGAGTCGTTGAGGTTGGAAAAGCCCTCCGGGATCATCGAGTCCAACCTGTGACTGATCACCACCTTGTCAACAGACCACATCCAGTCATTCCTTGAGCACCTCCAGGGATGGGGACTCCACCACCTCCCTGGGCATCCCCTTCCAATGCCTGGCAACCCTTTCCCTGAAGAAGTTCTCCCTGCAGATCCCTGTAGGCTCTTCAGCAGCGAGGGAGCGATGGCCGGCAGCGGAGAGGGGATGGGGATGAGGTTCCAGACTCCAGCCTCCTCCTGGCCCCCCGAAATGGCTGCTCCCATCTGTGTGCAGACCCTGCCAATGTTAACAGACTGTTACATCCCCTTTCCCTCCGCCGCTCCCTCCCGGCCAAACTCACTTAATCTTTTTTCCAGTGGCCCTTTTCCAGGGCTCTGAGCTGTGTCCAGCTCGCCCGTGGCTTCCTGGGGTGTGCTGAACGTGCCTCTGCAGCCCCTCACCACCCACCCAGAGGGGCTGAGCCAGCACCCATGGGTGCCCCAGCGTTAGGGGGGCTGCTGTCCCTGTCCCCCCCCCCCCGATGTCCCCATCCTCCACCAGCTCTGCAGCTCCCTGGGGAGGGCAGGGGAGCATCTCTGGGGGGAGCATCTGGCTCTGATCGATTTAACACTTGCAGCTTTTAACTTTTAAACTAGAAACTTTTTTCCTTTTTTTTTTCGACATGAAAAGCTTTCCAGGGTTGATTGCTAAACCAGTATGTGGATGGGGGGGAGAGACTGGGACCAGTCAGCCCCTCCCCTCAGTTCCTGGTGCACCCAGAAAACGCTGGCAGGAAGCACCCACCCCTTTCCTGCTCTTCCCTCCTGGTGCTCCAGAGCTGCACCCACATGGATACCACCCTTCTCTCCAGCTTGCTCGATGCTTTGCTCCAGATCCATGGGATTTTCACACACCCCTCCAGCAGGACTAGAGGGGAGTTGCTGCCTTGAATGCACAGAGCCAGCACAGCTTCCAAAGAGCTCCAAGGAGCCAAAAAAAGGAGCGAAGGCTTCGGGTTGCTTGGTTGTTTTTTTTTTTTTTTTTAAATGAGCATTAAGAAATTGGAATATTGGGGCCAGGAGGGAAATGGCCAAAGGGTTCTTGCTCTGAGGTCGGGCCCTTCCCTGAGTTGATGGTGTCTTGGGGGTTGCTGGTCCATGTGGCTGTATCACCCCAGGACTGGGGCTGAGAAGGGGTCCCCAAACATGATGACCACCCGCCCCTGGGCTACCAGCAGGCTTGCTGTGAATCCACCCCCTGCACCAGGGGCTCACAAAGTGTTGGGAAGAATAATTGTGGCTTTAGTAAGTGGGAAGGAAAAGAGCAGGAATGGGGGAGCAGGCACTGGATGGGTGTAGCACCCGCTTTTGCCACCCCAGCCTCTCCAAAAGCCTCAGCTCCTGCCTCACTGTGCAGAAACCTGGGCCATCAGCCCCCAGCCTGCAGGTCCCGGGTGGGAGGGAGGACAAAGGGGACCTTGTTGGTGGGTGTGAGCACACCACACCCTGCCTGCAGCAGGACCTGATGCCTGTGGGGCTCTGGGGGTGTTGGGAACCCAGGAGAGGCTCCAAACGGGGGGGCTTTGCTGACCCTGCCCAGGAACGTGCTCAGTGTGAGCCCCAAGGCACCTGAGGGGCACCTCCCCATCCCTGAGTGCACCATACCCTCCTCAACATCCACCTCAGCCCCTCCCTGCAGAGGCCACAGGGATGCTCAGTCCCTGGCTGGAACGGGGCCCTGTCACCCCACACCACTGGAGATCACTGAGACCCCCAAGCTGTGATCCCCAGTGGTCCCCAGGGCGAGTGGCAGTGGTGGGGCTGCCCCAGCGTGCACACCATGATGCCCCTGTGCCTCTGCCCCCAACACCATCACCTGCCCATAGCCCCCCAGGGCAGAGCGTGGCACAGAGGGGATGGGGGAAGTCTTTAATTTTTCCATCTTCCAAAGATGAATGTCCATGGGGCCCTCTTTTTTTTTATTAAATGTCCATTTCCTTCTTTTTCTTTTTTCTTTTTTTTTTAATTATTTACAGAAATAGCTCGTGACTCATCAAAATCTTTCAGCAGCGAATGTAAAACAGTGGGGTCATTCACTGCGAACCCAGCGAGGCAGGCAGAGCCTCCTCCCCCCACCGAAGGGCTTGAGAAGGTTATTTTGTTTAGAGACTCTGTGTGTGCACAGGGACGGGTAACTCTGCTCCGCAGATCAGGGGGAGATGGCTCAGACCCCAAGCAAACACGGCTGGGGCTGCACAGCCCGGCTCTGTGCCCCGTCCTCGGCGGCTCGACCGCACGCTGCGGCTCCAGGGGTGTTTCGTTCCTTGTTTTCGGATCACACGCGTTTTCTCTTAT